ATCCCATGGGCGTGCCTCTCCTCTCCTTGTCCGACAAGCATGTAAGAATATAATATTAATCATTTTGTATGGATACAGTAAGAAATATCTTAAACTTATAGAATTGCTCTCCTAGGGCCATCTCGATCTAGACTACGGTGCTCAGGCCAGATAGTCTTTCCCACCCCTAGCAGGATCCTAGTCTTGTCGTTACCTTTGGATCATGACAGCATTTGTCTATGATCAAACTCTTAACTTATAGTTAAGAATCGTGGCACCTTGGCCTGGCCCATTTCGCTGCCAGGGTAGCTCACCGCTTGCCCTGGGTCCATTCAGTCCCTCGTCGGGACCCTGCTTTTGGGGTGTTAGGGACTAAGGGCAACTGAGGCTTAAGTTGAGAAAGCAGATGCCCGGGAGTGAATAATATTCAAGGCCAATCAAATCCTAAGTTACAAAGCATGATGTTAACGGTCTTCCTGGATCTATGCAAAAGGATATTACTTTAAGGTAAACTGTTCATAAGGCATAAGGAGAGGAGAAAGGCAATATTTCACTCATACATATAAAATCATAGATTTCTGGGAAACTGATCTTACAAATTAACAAAGTCTGATTAAGGGGAAAGCTGATTAACTGGGTGGGAAGGAGAGCATAGGGAAGACTGTTTACAGATAAACACAATGGAAGTGGAAGTGCTTCAGGAGCACAGTGATGGGTGTAACCAGATTGATGGGTGTAACCAGATAAACCTAAGCTTCTTGTACTCCAACAGGCCTGTAGGTGGAGACGTGGCCCAGGGCCCACCGTGGGGGCAGGATTTGTGTGGCTGGAGCACGGACACGTCCTGGCTGCTCGGCTCGGCTCGTGCCCACACGCTGCGTCCATTGTCTCTCCAGAACAGCCTTGGCTGAGCCGGTCAACTCACAGCCTGAGCCCCGGGAGGCACCTGGACCCTGCACTCCTCCCTGCCCTCCCGCCCTCCTCCCCTCCATCCTCCCTCCCTCCTCCCTCCCCTCCCCCCTCAGCCCTCCCCCATTCCTCTTCCCTTCCCTCTTCCCCTTTTAAGATTTCTTTTTTTATTTTAATTTTATTGAATCACCGTGAAATAGTTATAAGCTTTCAACTTTAATTACGAGTAAGTGAATTAAGCAAAAAAGTCATTTCAGTGACTTAAAAGCATCGCTCACATTTCTGCATTAGCCTTACAGGGAGCGTTTCCCAGAATGGAAGCAGGAGCCCTGTTAAGCGGAGTTGGGGCGCTGCCCCCCAGGTGCCCTCCTACTGGCCCGCAGCCAGCCCAGGGCTTGTGGACAGGCTGTTGGTGCCGATGATCTGCTGAGCATCTGGGACCCACCCCCGAATTCCTGGCAAGGACTCCCCGGAAACTCCCAGGAAAAAAAACCGGAAATGCAGGGTCCTCATCACAACAGACTTGGGGGCTGGCTCACCTAGGGCAGCCCCCCACCCCACGGTAACTCTGCCCTCCAGGGCTTCCATGCAAACCACTCTCTTAGGCCAGGAACCCCTCAGTGCCCCCCCCCCAGGCCCCACCCGGCAGGACCCTAGGACGAGAGGTGAGCCCCACTGGTCAGGTCCGGACCCGCCCCGCTGGTCACTCAGACGGAGAATGATTCCTAGGGGGCCTGACTGTCCTGTCCTGCTCTGGGCATGGGCGGGGTGGGGCCATGGGCCACTTCCTGTGCTGAACAAACCGGAGTAGAGGGAGGGCTGAGGGCCGGCCAAGCGAGGCCCCTCAGGGCCCTGGAGAGTGCATTGGGGACCCTCGCACGTGCCTTTCTGGTTTGTGTAGGGTTAAAATCCAAAGTGAGGTGCACGTAATCAAAATTGTATTCCCATGGAAATACTGTGCTGCTGTTGCAGGCAATCCTCAGCACCTTGGTCTGCTTCCACGCGTGAACATACATGGTAACTGACGGGCAGACATCGGACAGACACGGACAGACATGGACAGACATGGGACAGACATGGGCAGACACGGGCAGACAGGAGCTGACACGGGGAGGCTGGGTGCTGTGTCCGGCAGGAGCCTCGCGTGGTCACTATTCCCCCTCGTGCAGTCCACGTAGGGGCCCGGATGGGCGGGGGCCCCCTGCTGCCCCCACTCTATCTGGTGTGTCCCCCACGGTGCCCGGGGCGATGACTGGCCCCCAGAATAGCTGTTTGTTTTCTTGGTTCCTGCACCCCACCCCCAGCTTAAAGCATTTTCTTCAGGAGCAAATGACCAAGAAGTAACCAGATGCCCCAAATTAATTTTCATAGAAATCATCTGCTTCTTCCTGGTCTCCTGCCTCTGGACGGCTCCTGCAGGACCTTGAGGCCTGGGCAGGGCCGTTGGCTTGGGGCTGTTGCCCGAGTCTTCCTGGGACAGGGCTGTGGGCTGTGGCTTCACCGGGGCCCTGGTGAAGATCATTTGTTCCCAGCTGCTGCTCCCGTGGTCCAGGGCGCCTATCCATCCCCATCTCCCAGAATAATCCGTGTCGGGTGGCAGGGACCAGCCCCACGTCCTCCTGGGTCCCTCCTTTAGGCAGAGGGAGTGTGTCTGTCCCCAACAGAGACGGGGGATGCCGAGGCCGGGCCGACACCGCGGGCAAGGAGGCGGCTGTCCCGAGATCAGCTCACATCCTAAGGGGTCACCCCCAACCTGTCCACGCACTGAGCCCAACTGGGGAGCAGCTCGTGCCCCGCAGGGCCTCGGGTTCAGTGTCTGACCTTCTCTGAGCCCCTCAGGGTCATGTCCCCGAGGTCAGGGCTGCTCCGTCCCCCCAGAGAAGCCCACTGGGAAAGGGCCGGCGTGGAGGACAGCTGCAGTCAGGCCTCCCCGGAGCCAGGAGCGGGTGAAACCGTCTGCATGGTGAGATTCTTCCCCTCGATGGCACCAAGGACTTCAAGAACCGGCCCCGGGACGGGAGAGAGTGTTGGGGTCAGGCGCCTGATTGGTCTGAAGTGCTGCAGGGCCAGAGGCACAATGGGGGCGGGGACAGGGGAGACAGAGGGGAGGTGGCTCTGGCCCAGGCGACCACTCCCCTTCATCCTCCATCCAGGCTGTTCACTCAGGGCGACTCTCAGGGCGGCTCTCACCAGTGCACTGGCAGCTGCATCTGACGAGGGTCTGATGAGGGTCTGGAGGGCCCAGCCCTGCACAGGGACAGACCCCAGGCAGGCCGGGCCTTTCCTGTCCCAGGGGGTCCCCCAGAGTGGCCTCTGCACTGTCTGTCTGTGGTCCTGGGCCCACCTCCCACCTGCAGCCCGGCCCTTGTGCTTTTTGTCTGTGATCCAAACGCCCGCGGCTTAGAGAGGGGGACCAGGCTGGCAGGTGTGTCCCTAAGTCCCGCCTGCAAATATCAGGTTCCTGATACCTGAGCCGGCACCTGATCTCACGACAGGCCTGAAAGAGTCCCAGAGTTTCCAGGGCTGAAACCCGAGCTCAGGCCCTGCAACCCGCTTACCCAGGCTGGCCATCACTGTCACTGGATGAGGGGGTGTCGGGGAGGAGGAAACTTCCAGAAAGACGGGACCAGGAAGAGCAAGGGCAGAGCAGTCTTCACCCGCTATTTTAGCGGTTACTGGTTTTACTGCTCACACACCCCAGCGACCCGGGGACGGGGAGAAGAGGAAGTCCCTTGGCCCCTTGCTGACTCCCCTAGGCGGGTCTGGGGGCTCCACGGGGTTGACCCCAGCCCCCTCAACCTGCACTTGTCCCCGGTGCTGAAAAGCGGGGGAGGGGAGAGGCGCGCTCCCGGAACAGACCCCTGAGCTGCCGGCAGCGCCGTCAAGTCCCCAGCTGAGGGGGGGTCATCCCGGACCCGTTGGGGGCATCTCCAGCCCGAGGAGGGGGACGTCCCTAGCCTGCGTCCCTAGCCTGAGCGTGCAGTCCTGGGCAAAGGGGGGGGGGCTCCGTGCGCGCGGGGGTCTTTCCTAGTCTCTTTGGGGGGCGCCCCGGGCCGAGGGGAGGGCAGGGAGCATCTCCAGCCCGTTTTGGGGGCGTTTCTAGCCCGTTTGGGGGGCGTTCCTAGTCCATACGGGGCGCGTCTGCAGCCCAAGCCGGGCAGAGAGGGGGTTATTCCTAGTCTGTTTGGTGGTGTCCCTAGCCCGTGCGGGGGGGGGGGGGGGGTGGTCCTAGGCTGTGCGGAGTGTCCCTAGCCCGTTTGGGGCGTCCTTTGCCCGAGCTGGGCGTCCCGTCCTTAGCCGAGCGGGGAGTGTCCCTAGCCCGTTTGGGGAGCGCCCCCAGCCAGTTTGGGTGGGTGGGTGGGGCGTCCCTAGCCCGTTTGGTGGACGTTTCTAGCCTGTGAGGGGAGTGTTCCTAGCCCGTTTGGGGGGCGTCCCCAGCCCGTTTGGGGGGTCGTTCCTAGCCCGTGCGGGGAGTGTTCCTAGCCCGTTTGGGGAGCGTCTCCAGCCAGTTTGGGTAGTGGGGGGGGTGGCGTCCCCAGCCCGTTTGGGGGGTCGTTTCTAGCCCGTTTGGGGAGCGTCTCCAGCCAGTTTGGGTGGTGGTGGGGGGGGGCGTCCCTAGCCCGTTTGGGGGACGTTCCTAGCCCGTGCGCGGGGAGTGTTCCTAGCCCGTTTGGGGGGGCGTTCCCAGCCCGTTTGGGGGGTCGTTCCTAGCCCGTGCGGGGAGTGTCCCCAGCCCGTTTGGGGCGCGTTCCCGGTCCGTGCGGGGAGTGTTCCTAGCCCATTTGGGGGGGCGTCCCCAGCCCGTTTGGGGGAGAGCGTTCCTAGCCCGTGCGGGGAGTGTTCCTAGCCCGTTTGGGGGGGCGTCCCCAGCCCGTTTGGGGGAGGCGTTCCTAGCCCGTGCGGGGAGTGTCCCCAGCCCGTGCGGGGCGCGTCCCCGGCCCGTGCTGGGCGCGTCCCCAGCCCGCCCGCGGGGCGCCCCCAGCCCGAGGAGCCGGCCGGCCGGGCCGAGCGGGGGCTCCGCGCGCGCGGGGGCGGGCGGGCATGCGCGGACGCGGGGGGCGGCGCGGCGGCGGCGGGTGGGCGGGCGCGGGGCGGGCGCCGGCCGGGCAGACGCGGGCGCGGCGCGATGGGGCCGGGCGCGCGGCGGGGCGCGCTGCGGGCCGGGGCGGCGGCGCTGCTGGCCGGGGCCAGCTGCCTGTGCTACGGCCGCTCGCTGCGGGGCGAGTTCGTGCACGACGACGTCTGGGCCATCGTCAACAACCCCGACGTGCGGCCGGGCGGCGCGGCCCGCGGCAGCCTCTTCGCCAACGACTTCTGGGGCCGGGGCATGGCCGACAGCGGCAGCCACAAGTCCTACCGGCCGCTGTGCGTGCTCACCTTCCGGTGCGTGCGGGGCCCCGCGGGGATGCGGGGCGCCGGGGGATGCGGGACTCGGGGCGCGCGGGGACCGCGGAGCGCGCGGGGGATGCGGAGCGCCCGGGGATGCGGAGCGCGGGGGATGCGGAGCGCGGGGGATGCGGAGCGCGCGGGGGATGCGGAGCGCGGGGGATGCGGAGCGCGGGGGATGCGGAGCGCGGGGGATGCGGAGCGCGCGGGGGATGCGGAGCGCGCGGGGATGCTGAGCGCCAGGGATGCGGGGCGCCGGGGGATGCTGAGCGCGGAGGATGCGGAGCGCCGGGGATGCGGGGCGCGGGGCCCGGCCCGGGGCGGGAAGGCTGCGGCCCTGCGCACCCCGCCCGCGTGGGGGACCTGTCCCGCGGGGGACAGCCGTGCGGAGGAGGACAGCGGCCGTGCCGGGCCCCGCGGGCGGGGGCGGAGGGTCGGAGCCGCCGCGCGGGACCCGGGGGACCGTGATTCAGCGTTTCTGGGGGAGCCGGGCAGGGCGCGGGAAGAGCCGCCTCACCTCCGGCGCCGCTGTCGTGCGTCTCGGCGTCCAGAGTGCCGGTGGCCTGGGCTGGCGCGGGCTGGTCCGGCCCTGGCGCGGGCGGTCGCCGTGGGCTCCCCCTGCCCCCTCCGGGAAAGTTCCCGGCGCGGAGCCCTCTGGGTGAGTGACGCCGCCGCTCCCGCGGGGCTCCGGCTTCCAGGTCCACTTGCCCGTGCGGGGATGGATGCGCCCCCTCAGCGAAGCGCAGCTCACAGTGGGGGCGTGGTTCGCTCCAGGATCCCTGGGGTGAAGGCCAGGACCTGATGAGGGGGAGGAGAAGGGCCTGCGTGATATGGACTTCTAGAACGTTTTCTTAGCCCTGCCGGACCTGGCAGGGACAGGGGGACTGGGAGGAGGGGGGTGCAGCTCTGAGCTCCGAGTTTGATCCCTTGGGCCTCTCCCAGCTCATCTCCCCAGGCTCGGGTTCACTCTGGAGAGGAAGAGGAAGGAGGAAGGAGCCCTGAGGAGGGGAGGGCAGGGGCCGAGTTCTTCCAGGACAGGGTCAGGGGTGCCCAGGGTCAGGTGTGTGGGCCTGGCCCCAGCCACCCTGGCAGAGCGTGAGGCCCACGTGTGTGAGCATGGTGATGGTGGGGGCATCTGGGGGCAGTGGGGCAGGTGGGGGGTGGCGAGGGCCTGGCGGGTGGCTTTGCCAGCAGCTGCCTTCTTCCTTTCACTGCTGAGACACCTGACAGGTCCCCTCCCACCTTACTTTGGGGCGTGGGAACTTGCAGGTGGTGGCCGGAAGCCTAGGTGGTGCCGGGCGCACTGTGGGTCACCGAGGGTACTGCGAGGACTCCCTATGCTGGGCCCAGCCCCTACCCATGCTCACCCCATCATGGTAGGTGCCGCCTCTGACCTCAGTGGGGATCAGGATCCGGATGTTGAGGCCAGCGGGTCCCGGAGCTTCCTTGTCTCTGCTACCCCCCCCCCCCCTTGGAAGAATTGCCCCTGGAGAAAGCCCTTTGCGTAGCTAAACCAGTGCCCTCGGATAGGTAAAGGTCTGCCCCTCTCGTCTTGATGGCACCTCGGTCGGCACTGCCCAGAGAGTGCCGCTCTCCCGGTACCCGCTGTCTGTGCCTGCTCTCGGCCCGTCAGGCTGTTGGTCCGCCTCCCCCCCACACACACTGTCGGTCCGCCTCCCCCCCCCCCCCCCCACACACACTCTTTCTCTTTTGTTTCTCTTAATCTCTGGCATCCCTGCGCCAGGCCTGCTTACCCAGGGCTGGTGCCCGGTGGCCGCTGTGTCTTGTCTGTCTGCTTCTCCGAAGTGCAGGGCCCCGAGGGGGCAGTGTCGGGTTTACACCCATCTCTCCACATCAGCCCATGTTCCCATCATGGCTCTGGACATCCGCCCTCGCCCTCCCTGCTTCCCAGACTCCGCCAGTCTCCCTGCCAGCTTTCGCACATGCCCAAAGTTACTTTCCACCCGGTGTGAGCGCAGGGCCTGGTGTCATCACTCCCAACGGGGACACCCCGTTCCTGGCGCCATTGGTCCAGCAGACTCGTCCTTCCTGTCGCCCTTTCTGCGTTTGTCAGAGGTGGTTGGACGTGTGCATGGATGCAAGTGTGGACTCCTCCCTCCCCCACTTCCTCCCCTCCCACCCTCCCTCCCTCTCTCTCTCTCTCTTTGGCGTACACCTGGCGGTGCTCAGAGCTTAGTCCTGGCTTTGCGCTCAGGGATCACTCCTGGCAGTGCTGGAGAGCCCGTATGTGATGCCGTGGATCGAACCCAGGTCAGCCGTGTGTCAGACCAGCCCTGCCCGCTGTACTGTGGCCCTCCACCCCTCTCTGGTTTGTTTTGGGGGCACTCCTGGGTGTTCTTCAGGGGCCATCCCACACCGCGATTCCCGGCCTCGTGCAGCGTTTCTTGCCTGCTGGTCTGCTCGTGCCCACGGGGAGCTGTCCTGCTCGGAGTCAGAGCCCTGGGGTCTGCTCGGAAGCGGGAAGCGCGGCGTACCTTTCTGCAGGCGGCACATCGCTTAGGGATCGAGGTGACTTCTGCGTCACTCTGTGTCTGTGAGATGTGCCATTGGGGCACTGGGCAGTGTGGACCTTCGATGCTACCATCTGCCTGGTGGCCAACACCGCTTTTGGTCTTTCATCTTTCCTCACTCATGCGTAGCTTTAAAAATATTTTTTCTCTTAAACTTCACCCCAGTCACTTGATTCTCTCTCACCCTCTCATGCATGCAGGTAGCTCTCGCGTAGCTGGTTAGCAGTACAGGAATGTGGATGTGTTTCAGTTCCGATTCCACGGCCTGAGACTTTTCTGACTCCCTGCGGTTAGCCGAGTTCCCGCCGGTGACTCAGGTTCTCTACCTGCAGATCACAGACCTTCGCCTTTGGTCTTTCCTCACTTAACCGCACTGTCGCACTTTGTCTCCGTGAGTGGACGGAGATGCAGAGAGCCGCCCTAGTTGGTTCTGGGTCTCCGAGGGGAAGCTGTGGCCTCGCCACTGGCTGTCGCTTCCATAGTGTCCTCTGCCGGGGGGGGGGGGGGCAGATGCCTGATCAGTTTGTTGAGACGTTTTGTTGGATCTGTGGCTCTTGTTCCTCTGGTTCTCTGACCCTCAACGTGTCCTGTGCTGGGTCACTGACTCCGCGTGTGCACTGACCCTTCTGCGTCCCAAGCGTGGTGCAGGCCGTGTTCTTCCTGCCAGGGCTTTTGCAGCTGGGCCGTGAGAAGTGTTGGTCCCATTCGGGAGGTGGGTTCCTGAGCCTCGGGAAGCCGTTTCTTCAGGGTCGGGGGTCACCAACAGTGCCCCAGTGCCCCGCGGGTGTTGTGATGCCTTGTCTCCTGCCGGTCATGCTTTGACTGTCCAGTTTTCTGGTCCCCAGGGAGCTGGCCTGAGTCACTGCTTTTGCCACATTTCACAGCTTGCTGTCGAATCTCATTTCTGTTTGGAGTTCTTAAACCTGAAAGGGGTTTTTGTCTTTATCTTTGCCAAGTGTGTCCAAGAGTCCTGTGGCAGTCAGCGAGCCTGAGGGAGGTGTCACAGGCGGTTTGGTGCCGAGACTGGTGTCCTGTACTGTCCTGTCGTGACAGCCGAGCGTGCCCATCACTGTTGGCTGCATGGTTGTCATGTGACATATGGGGTGTGTGCGTGAAGAGGGGGCTGTGTTGATTTATTTCTGGGCCCCCAAGAACACCTGGCAGGGCCACTCGTAGCTCAGCCTGTGCTAGGAGCTGGACGTGGGGTCTGGCACTGCGGGGCATGTGCCCAGCCCCCGAGCCGTCTCCACACACGCCTGCAGCCTTCTGGGAGTGAGGGAGCAGGACTGTCCCACTCGTGTCCGCCAGGCCCTCTGCAGCCCTGCTGATGTCACCCACAGCACCCCCAATCCCAGCACCCCACTCCATGAAACACCCCCATCACACACCCCAGTCCACAGACCCCCTGACCCGCAGAACGCTGATCCACAGATCCCCAACCTGGAGAACACTGACACACACAACACTGACCCGGCGGAGAACAGTGACCCACAGAACCCTGGCCCACTGACCCTCTGACCCACAGAACCCCTGACCCACAGAACACTGATCCACGGACTCCCCGACCTGGAGAACACTGACCCACAGAACCCTCCCTGACCCAATGACCCTCCGACCCACAGACTCCCTGACCCGGAGAACAATGACCCACAGAACCTTGGCCCAGTGACCCTCTGACCTGCAGACCCCCTGACCCACAGACCCCCTCCAACCCACAGAACACTGACCTGCAGACGCCCTGACCCAGGGAAGCCAGCGTGGCCGTCTGGGGCAAACCCCAGCACCCTGTGCCCGGCTGCCTGCCCCCCGCCCCCCACCCCACCCTGCTGGCCCGTGTGTGTCTGGAGGTTTGACTTTAAGCTGATTCGCCTGGAGCCGGGCGCGGCCTCGGGTAGTGGGAGACTGTTGACACCAGTAGCCTGGTGGGACCTGGACTCGGGACTCTGTCCCAGGGCGTGCGCCGTGCTTGGGTGCTCGGCGGGTAGATGGGCTGGTCGTGGGCCTGGCTGAGTGGGGCGCGACAGGCCCCGCTGGGTGTGGGGCCGTGAGGGGTGTCTGGGGGCCCCGCTCACCCCTGCTGGCGTCCTGCAGGCTGAACGTGTACCTGACGGGCATGGACCCGTTCTACTTCCACGCCGTGAACGTGGTGCTGCACTGGCTGGCCAGCGTGGTGCTCATGCACGCCTGTGACACGGCTGTCTTCAGGGACCCCGCGCGCGCCTTCCTCACCGCCCTGCTCTTCAACGTCCACCCCGTGCACACGGAGGCCGTGAGTGTCCCGCCGCGTCCCCACCCCAGGGTCCCCCGCCCCCGCGCCACAGCCCCACACGCCCCTGCCTCCCCGGCCCAAGTTCCCATCGCCCGGTGATTCCCAGCACGTTGGCCGGGGGTGCTGGCCAGCCGCTGAGGGCGTCCAGCACCGTGGACACTCGTGAACGTGTCGGTGGGCTGCGGGCTGTGGGAGCCAGGCGGGTGAGGAGTGTGCGGGAGACATGCGTGTCCGCGGTGCCAGCCCTGCCTGAGGGTGCGGGGCAGAGAGCAGCTGGGCGCATGCTTGGGGCACCAGGTGTGTTCCGGTTCTGGCCCAGGTCCGGTGCATCTGGCCCGGCTCTGCTGCCCAAGGGCGGGTGTGTCCCTGCGGCCTGTGCTGATGGGGGGTCAGCCACCCCGTCTGGCCTCGGGCGTATGAGGAAGGGGTGGGGCCAGTCCCCGAGGCAGGAGGATCCCGGGGCCACCCCAGGGTGCAGGGGCCCAGGAGCCTCTCCTGGAGGGAACAGACACTCGCAGAGCCGGGAGGGGCTGGGAGCAAGTGAGCAGATCCGGGTCCGAGGGCAGCCGGCCTCACCCCTTCACTGCCAGCGTGACCTCACCTGCTTCTGGGGCACAAGGCCGGAGCTCCTGTCCAGAAACTCCTCTCAGCGCCCATCTGCTGGGGCCCGCCCAGGTCACTGGAGGTGATGGGCCTCCTCCCGCCACCCCTACCCCCACCCCGTCCCCCTGCCCCCCTCCCCACCTCCCCGCCACGCTCTACCTCTGTCTCCTGACCACCTTCCGCCCCTGCACCCCTGCCTCCTTCCTATATCCACCCGGCACCCCTGCCTCCTGCCTCCTTCCTCCCCCACCCCTGCACCCCTGCCCCCTTCCTCCCCCTCCCCTGCCTCTTGCTCACCCAGCACCTCTTGCTGGCCTGGGCCTGGACAGGGTGCCAGAGACGAGGGCTTGCTCTGAGCCCTCGGCTGAGCCGGGCATCCCTGGGTGTTTGGTGGTTTGGAAGTGGCAGCGTCCGTCACATGGACGCGACTGTAGCCAACCCTCCCCCCCCCCCCCCCCCAGCTCTGCTGGCCCGTTGGCTGCTGCCCTCTCAGATGTGGTGCTGCCAGCTGCCCTTCTGCGCGACTCTGGCAGCTTCCTGCCCGCGAGGCTGGGCCCATTAGCTATGCCTGCCTCCTGCCAGCCGTTCTGCCCAGCTGGCACCGCGAGCTCTGTCTGAGAGGAGTGGCCCCGAGCCCAGATGCCCACCACATGCCGGCGGTGCCCACAGGGTCTGGCCGCAGCCTGGCCGCTGTCCCGGCTCGTGCCCGCCCTGCCGCAGCCCCCTCTGTGGCCAGTGAAGTCGGGGCCAGGACTCGCCTGTCCTGGTGGGGACATGGGAGGAGCCCCCCAGCCCCCTCCCCGTAGTTTCTCATCTTTAAGCTGAGCTTGCTAGTAAATTTCTGGTGGGCCCCGATCACGCGGCTCAGAGCCCATGGGGGGGCCCTGCTGCCTCATCCCTGGCGCCCACGTGGCTCCTGGGGGGTCCCCTGCCTGGCACCAGAACCGCCGTGTCCTGGGTCCTCAGCGCTGAGGAGGGGCACAAGCCCCCTCCTGCGCCCCGGGGCTACCCCTGCCTCCCCTGCCTGTGCCCTGCCCGGTGCTCTGGCTGTCCTTGGAGGAGGTGCAAGGGGCCGAGGCGAGGCCCTTGGGGAGAGCAGGAACCCCATAGCCCCCACCCCCACGGGCCCCTGAGCCGACTCTGCCTGCAGGTGGCGGGGATCGTCGGCCGGGCGGACGTGCTGGCCTGCCTGCTCTTCCTGCTCGCCTTCCTCGCCTACCACAGGTACGCGCCGCCACGGGACACGCGGGTCGCGGGTCGTATGCGTGCACCTGCGTGTGTGTGGCCTGTGTGCAGTGTGGATGGTGGGAGGTGTGTGTTTGTGTGTACAGCACGTGTGTGGCCGGAGTACCTGGATCGCGTGTTAGGTGTGATGTGTGTATGCACAGGCACGTGTGTGGTGTGGGCTACGCTTGGTACATGTGGCGTGTTGTGCTGTGTGGCGTGCACACGTGTGGCGGGGGGTTGTGTGAATGTGTGTGGCATGCTCAGCGTGCACACATGGATAGTGTCTGGTGTATGGCGTGCGTGTTTGTAGCATGTGGTCTGATGTCCACGTATGTGCCGTTGTAGTATGTGCTGTTCCTGCACATGGAGTGTGTGGTGAGTGTGGAATGTACACGTGTGCGGTGCGTGCCTTGTGGTGCGTGCCTGTGTGGTGGCCGTGTAGGTAGCGTGTGTGGCATTGCTGTGCACGTGCGTGTAGTGTGTGTGACATGTGTGCACATTTGTGTAGTCTGTGTTGTATTTATTGCTGTGTGTGCGTGTGTAGCGTGTGTGCATGTGTGTCGTGCATGTGGTCTGGGACCTGGTCTGTGGCACGTGTGCGTATGGGCCAGGCAGATGGTGTGCGCCATGTATCTGCACATGTGTCGTGTGCACGTGCTGTGTGTTTGCCCACGTGCTGTGCACCTGCTCCTGTGTCCTGTGTGTGCTGTGTGTATGCCTGTGTGCTCTCCACCTGCACGTGTGTGTCACGTGTGTGCTGTCTGTCCCTGTATGCTGCGCGTCTGCACATGTGTGTCGTGTGCACACGCTGTGTCTGTGCCTACATACTCTCCATCTGCATGTGTGTAGTGTGTCTGTGTGCTGTATGTGCCTGTTTGCTGTACCCCTGCACGTGTGTGTCACGTGTGTGTGTTACGTGTGCTGTGAGTGTGTGTGCCAGTTGTGAGTACGCATGAGCGTGTGTACAGCCGTGTGAGGGGGCTGAGCACTGGCTGAGGGAGGGTCTGGGGGGGACAGGACAGGGAGCCTCGTGTCCATGCTGAGCTGGGCCTGGCCGGGAGGGGGATGGGCCCTAGGACCCAGCCGGGAGGGGGCAGGACCCCAGCGGGCAGCTCCCGGCACCCGGGGTCATGCAGGGACCCCACGTCCTACACTGTCCCTGCATGAGGGGAGGCCAAGTCCCTGTGTGTGGGCTGAGGCGGTGAGGGGGCTTGGACCCCCACTCCCAGCACCCCCAGCCCTGCTCTGAGCCCCGTGTCCATCACCCTCGCGTGACTGCTCAGCGGCTGCTCAGTGGCAGACACGCAAAGCCCGTGTCGCGGCCCAGGGAGGGACAGCTGGGGCCGGCCGGGCCTGAGAGGCGGCGGCGTGTTTGGCGTCTGCCTGCTGCATGGCCTCTTCTCGCTGGCCCACAAGCACCGGGAGCCCTGGGAGGGCCGTGTCGGAGGGTCACCCGGTCACGTGGCCTGACCCTTTCCCGACAGCGGGTAGGGACACTTGCCTAAGGCATCGGCAGCCCAAAGCGATGGTCTCTCTGCCGGTTCTCAGCCTCCTACCCTGGGGTGCAGCCCCTGCGGCCTCCCGTGACCCCCATGAACACGCTTCAAGGGGCTGGAGAGGTGCAGGGGGCATCTGCCCTGCACAGGGCTGGCCCCAGCTGACCCCAGCATCCACTTGGCCCTGAGCTCACTCAGCGCTAACCCGGAGCACCGCCCCACGGGGCAGCCGGGGGGTGGGGGTGGGGAGCCCGTGCCCGCAGCCCCTCACCCGAGCCTCTGTCCCGCGCAGGGGTGTGGCCGGCGCGTCCCCCGGCTGCCTGCTGCTCAGCCTGTGGCTGGGCACCTGCGCCATGCTGGTGAAGGAGACGGGCGTCACCGTGTTCGGCGTCTGCCTGCTGCACGACCTCTTCTCGCTGGCCCACAAGCACCAGGAGTCGTGAGTGTCTGGGCCGGGCGGGGCCGGGCCAGGGAGGGGGCGTCTGTGCCCCAAGCCCCGCTGGGCGACATCTGGCGCAGACCTGCAGACGCGGGGGCGTGTTCACAAGGCCCAGACCCTACCCCAGTGCAGGGTCCAGCCCTGCGACCTGCCAGCCCCTCCCCGCCCCCTCCCCTCCCCTGCCCCGCCCCTCCTTCCCTCTCCCCTCCCCCCCCTCCCCTTGCCCCTCCCCTCCCCCTTCCCTTGCCCTCCCTCCCCCTCTCCGCCCCTTTCCCCTCCCCAACCCCTCCATTTCCTCCCTCCCCTCCCCTCTCCTCCCCCTCCCTTCTCCCTCCCCCCTCCTTTCCCTTCTCTCTCCCCTCCCCCTTCCTTTGCTCCCCTCCCCCTTTCTTCCTGCTCCCCTTTCCCCTCCTCTCTCCTCCCTACTCATTTATGGGGAGTCCTCCCCAGGTGGTGTTCCCAGCTGCCCGCCCCCGTCTGTCTGGGTCAGGCCTGGATGTGGTCACTGCCGCGTCCTTGCATCCTCAGGGGCAGCGTCCGCTCTCCAGCTGCCCGGCGGAGACACTGCCTGGGTAGGGCCCTCGGACAGGGACATCTGGCTGCCGGCTGCGGCCTCCCAGGGGCTCCTGCCTCGCGCTGTCTGTCAGCCTCTGTCCCCATCCGCAGCCCAGCTGTCGTGTGACCCACCAGCAGGCCACCAGCCCCCTCCCTTCCAGAGCGCACTGACCGCCCAATCCGCCGGGCTATGTTCTGCAGGTCGTGGTGCCTGGGAGGGCGGGGGGCCCGGGCAGAAGCCCCCCAGCCCCCAGCACTCTGCCCCCTGTTCCACTTTCTCTTTTCTGATGTCCGTGAGGTTGTGGGGTGAGCGTGAGAAGCACACCCCCTGCTCAGTGAGCAGAGTCCCTGCGAGGGGCCCCGTGGTCAGGCTGGGGTTGAGACTGTAAGTGAGGGGCAGCCCTCAGGCCTGGGGGTGTCAGCATGCACGGGGGCAGCGGCCTTGCCCTCACTCCTGTCCTGGTCACATCAGGGCCCCATGCCGCTGCCGCTTGCCCTGGGGCAAGGCGGGTGCACCGGCCCCTTGGGACTCAGGTCTGCGCCTCATACTCTGCCCCCAGGCTGCCCCACGGGTGACGGCTGCCATGACCCTCAGTGGTGGCTCCCCGCAGGCCCCGTGTGTTGACTTGCTCCTGGCCACAGGGCTGAACGCTCAGGGCGCAGGCTCAGGAGCTGGGCTGAGCCGTGGACACTGTTACGTCATTTCTCTCCCCGTGCTGAGTTTGCGTGTTTCCGAGGGACCTGCTGGCCCAAGGAGCCCCCAGCTGGGGGTGGTTTGTCCCCAAGGGCACTCCTGGCCCGAGTCTGCGTCTGTGCGGTCTCAGGAGCTCTGAGGGTGCTGGTGCTCGGGGCTCGGGCAGAACCTGGAGGCCACTGTCACTCAAGTATCTTGGCTGCTGACATGGCCGTTCCAGCTGTGCGTGCCTGGGGGGGACCCCCGAGAGTCCGCACAGGGAGTGACCCCACCAGTTCCCCCGCCCCCAGGCTTGACCCTTTATCCGCCTGTTCAGTCACACGGGTTGACATGTTGGCTGTCCCTGGCCACTCTGAGTGGTGCCCAGGTGCCCAGTGGTATCCCGGGTGTGTGCCTGGAGCTCCCACCCGCGGAACCCCGCAGCCCTCTGGGCTGGCTCCGGCCGACGCGTCCCTTTTAGCTTGTGTATTTAGGGGCTGGGGACGGGCCCATCTGGGCTAGTTCCCTGTGTTTGGAGACGGCAGATTTCAGGGCCGTGTGACCTGGGCTGGGCTGTGCTTGTTGGTGCCATTCCTGCCCTCACACTGTGGCTGGATCTCTGTGAGTGTCACCCAGGAAGCACATGTCCATTTCCCGCACACGGTGTGCCGTCCGGAAAAGCCCATTGATTGCGAGGCCCCAGCAGCCGCTCCTCGAAGGTCAGCATCAAAGATCCACTCAGTGATTTCTCCCTCCAGAGTATCGGGGAAATGCTGAAAGGAAACCTAAGTATGGATGTTCAGAGGATGAAAGCAATTAATATGCCATAATTCAGGGGGGAAAATGAAACCACCCACACCAAGCACCCGGCCCGGTGGGAGGAGGCCGGAGGGGGCGAGTCACGTCCCGGCTCTGCCTCGGCTCCGGGCGACTCTCGCTGCGTGGCCATGAGTCGTGTCTGTCTGTCTGTCTGTCCTCTTGCCCCTGGCTGTGCCGGATCCGCCTGCGAGCTGGAGACTGAGGCGGCGTTGAGGGGGACCACGGTGTCCAGAACGTTCTGGCGCTGCCCTGCGTGCTGTGGGGAGACAGCTGTGCTCGGGGCGGGGCGGGGCGGGGTTCTCACTTGTTTGTTCTGTTTCCCGGCGGAGCTGGACACGGCAGGAGCACGATGTGGGGGCGCAGGCCGGTCTGGGGGGCTGGTTTGGGCGCAGCGTTGCTCTCATTCCACTTTACCCTCCCAGGATGTTTGTTTGCTTTCTCGGGGTCACCTTGGGTCACTTGCTGTTCCGGGCAGTTCCGGGGCCGGCCGGGCCGGGCTGCCGCTGCTCTGTTTCCTGTGGCTCATTGTGCCGTGCAGGGGGTGGGGGCCAGGGGCCCCGCCACGGCCCCAGAAGTGAGAGTGGGCCCTGTGCGGGCAGGGCAGGGCAGCCCAGGGTTTCCGGCCCCCCTTTTCCGCCCCGGGTTCTTGGCCACTGGAGCCGGCCTGGCCAGCCGCACGATGGACAGAAGGTGTCGGAATCGGGAACCAGGCTCAGCCCTGGCGCCCCAGCCCTTGCTTCCTGCCTCCCGGGGGCTGGGCCTGCCCGCCTGACCCCGCCTTCCTCCCTCCCCCTAAGTCCCCCCTGGCCTCAGGGCTCCGGACTGCCTGGTGCGAGGGCAGGGTGGCCGTTTTTCTTCTCCCCTGGCAGACCTGCCTCTGTCCAGCCCCACCTGCTGGGAGAGGCCGGCCGGGCCCCGTGTCCCTCTCTCACTCCTCACATCCCCAGAAGGGAACAAACGCAAGATCCCCTCCCTGTGACCAGGGCTGTGGGGGCCCGGGGACACGCGGGCAGCCGACTCAGGGACACCCAGAGACACCGAGGCCAGTGTCTGCCCCACCAGGCAGATCCAGGGCAAGGCAGGGCAAGGCAGCACGTGAGAGCACAGTGGCACATGTGTGCGGGTGAGAATGTCTGTGTGCAGGGCCGGAGTCATGTACGTGTTTGTGTGCGTGACTGCACATGTGTGCATGCGCTGACTATGGACATGTGTGCACGGGACTGCACCGCCAGGTGCCGGCGCCTGCCCTGGTGCTGATTCGACGTTTTCAGCTGCCACTTTCCTCCCGAGGTCCCGGTGGGTCTCTCCCCGCCCCTGGGTCTCACGCTGTTCGGCTTTCCTGATTTGCTTACTGGTGTTGGCTATTCTTCTCTTTTTCTTTATTTTTTAAATTTATTATTATTATTTGCTTTTTGGGTCACACCCGGCGATGCACAGGGGTTACTCCTGGCTCTGCACTCAGGAGTTACTCCCGGAGGTGCTCAGCGAACCATTTGGGATGCTGGGAATCGAACCCAGGGTCGGCTGTGTGCAAGGCAAACGCCTACCTGCTGTGCTATCTTTCCAGCCCCTTCTCTCTCTTTTTCTTTTTTTTTTAATTGAATCAAGCAAGGCACACAGTTACAGAGTGTCCCTGTAGTTTGGAGGCACACAGTTACAAAGTATCCCTGACAGTTCTAGTTACAAAGTATCTCTGACGGTTCCAGTTACAAAGTGTCCCTGCAGGTTTCCTCATACAGTGCTCCAGGGCCAGCCTCTCCCCTGCACTTTCCCCCTGATGCTTTCCCAGCCTGAGGCAGCGGGTGACTCTCTCCCACCTGTGAGGGCCGGCCAGGGCTGGGAGCACTGTGGATGGTGAGGCCTGCTCGGCTTGGGGGGCAGTGGGGATTCCCTGGGTCTGCGAGGGTCCGTGTCCCTCCTCAGGAAACTAGGGGCTGGGCCTGGGCCCCAGGACATGCCACTTCCTTGGTCTTGGGGAAAGTGTGGAGGGCGTGTTTGCCCCTGAGCACGTAGCTGGTGGTTGTGGTGGTGGTGGGGCGAACCCCACACATGCAGGGAGGAGTGGAGGCTGACCCACCCTCCTGCCTAACTCCCGAGCACAGTGCTCCCTGCCAGGGGCACATGGAGCTGAGTGGGCATCTAGCCCAGGTGTGGGGTTGGGTCCAACTTGCAGAATGTCCCTGGTCTCCGGACCTCAGAGATGCAGTCTCGAGACCCCCAGGCCCCTCATGGGCAGGGAGGGAGGCCCGACCTGAGGGGCACTCGGAAGCAGTGTAATAAGCTCCTGTTGGCCAAGCCCAGGGCAGACTGACTCGGAGGGATGCACTGAGGTGAGCACTGGGGCCGGAGAAACGGGCTCGCGGGGCTCATGGGCTGAGCTTGAGCCCTGAGGGGTGTTGGGTCCCTGGGCGCCCCTGGGAGCAACCCCAGCACCAACCCCAGGCCACCGGGTGTGGCCCAGAAGCTTCCAGTAAGAGTTCTGTGGGAAGTGACTGGCCACGGGCCCGCGTGGACGCCGGGAGACGCCGGGCGCCCTCAGACCTGCCTCTCCTTCCCACCCAGCCATGGCCCCTCTCGCTCTGCTCAGGGTGACTCGGGGCTGCCGACATCCCAGGAGGAGCCAGAGAGATGTGGTGGGACCCAGGGTCCAGCCCCTCCCTGAGGGAGCCACAGCCCAGCGCCCCTCCCTGGCCGTACCCCCATTGAGCAGCCTCTGGGCTGCAGGGGGCTCCAGGGGGCTTAGCCCCTGGTGCGGTCGTTCACTGCACCTCAGGCCGGGCACCCGCACGGGCCTGGGTAGATGGCTCCGGGAACGGTGCCATCTGCATCCACAGAACCGCGGTTTGGAGCAGAGACGTCACGCTCTGGCTCTGCCGTGAACACGCGTGAGGCTGAGGTGGAGAGATGGCACAGAGAGCTCGGGAGACGCACAGCGGGGCGGGCCGATTACGTACCCCCCGTGAGGGTCCCCTCAGCCCCAGTGGGCGTCACCACTGAGCAGGGCCAGGGGTCAACTGCCAGACCTGGGCCAGAACAAAAAGGTTTGGAGAAAGGCCCCTGCCACCAAGGGAGCTTTTTTGTGTGCTTGAAGTTTTATTTTGACGCTGTGATTGACAGTTGTTTCAGGAATTCGGCGTTCCGGCCCCGGTCCTCCCGCCAGCCAGCCCCCCCGCCCCGTGTCCCTGGTGCCAGCATCCGAGCCTGCCCCTAGCGGGCAACAGAACTGTCTAGATTGCGGGACACAGTGCAGATTTCGCAGTGGCACTGCTACACATTGTCTGAGAGTGGCCGCGCTCTGAGCTGCTGGTCTGTCTCGCTTGTCGCTCCCTGAGCTTGGGGGGCTTCTCCGCAGTGTCTCCTCCCAAGTCTCTGCTTCTGCCGGTCTGTGGGTGCTGTGGCCGCCCACTCCAGCAGCCGGGCATGGACCGGTCAGTGCTGGGTGGCTGTGAGCTTAGGCGTGGGGCTGGGCCATCTGTGTGCTCAGGGACATCAGGTGTGGGTGGGGCGCTGGACCTTCCGGCAGGGCAGGTGGGGACTCGCCCACCCCCATTCTGAGAAGGCAGAGAGCACTGAGCCCGGAGCCAGCCCTGAGGAGGTCGCTTGGTGATCAGAAATGTTTTCCTGCCTGGTGTCCACTGGAAATGGCTATTACGGGGGCGTGTGAAGGAGACGCCGCTTCCTCCCGACTAGGGTTCCCTGCCCTGGTCCCCCCGCCCCTCCCCATTCCTCTGACCCCACCCTGGTCCCTGACCCCACCCCAGGTCCTGACTCCTCCCCCGTCCACTGCCATCTGGGTGCTGCCCAGGGTGCTGGCCCCCTGGGCCCCAGCCATGTGTGGTGACGGGTCGCTTCTCAATGCTTCCGCTGTGGCTGACAGCCCCTGGTCCTGCTGCCTGCCTCGTGACGGAGACACGCTCTCCTGCCACGTCTCAGCTTCAGGCTCTGACTTTCCGAGAGCCGGGGTGGGGGTATTCCGAGAGGGAGCAGCCACCTGGCTGACGCCTGTTGTCCCTCTGACCCCTCTTGGACAACAAAGCCCTGGGCTGGGCTCAGCGTGACCCTGACCTTAGGTGTTGCTCTGGCCATCGGCTCTGAGACGCTCAAAGCCACACTGGTTTGTTCTCACATTTGAACTCCCGCGGGCTCCTGGGGGGCCTTTGTCAGCCACCGTGAGCCTCTGGATTCGGCCTCGTCTCCTAGATGAGGTTTTGTCAGTCTGTGTGATCTGTGGGGGGGTGGGGTTTGGCCTTGTCTCCTGGTGAGGCATTGTTGGTCTGGATAGCACCTGGTGGGCAGGAGGGGGTGGGCGACACACTGGGCAGCTCTGAGATCAAAGCCTCCCACGGGACCGGGGACCCCATGGAAGGGGCAGGGGCAGCCGTCCCCGCCCTCAGCCCCTGCCGCTGGGCCTACATCCTGGGGGCCACTTCCCCCTCGGTGGCAGATGTGATGTCCTCCCTAGAGGCTGGAGTGCTGAGGCCACCGGGCTTTTGACAACTTCCCCAAGAGCCGCACTGTCACCGGGGATGGTCTACCCTGTGCTGGGGCTGTACAAGTCCTTGCTCTGAGTCAAGGGCTGTTTGTTGAGACTGTAAGTCCCCGGGGTTGATCCTAACTCACTGCCTGAGCAAGGAGGAGCCGTGGGCATTGTCCCCGATGGGGAGGAGTCTGCAGGCCCCTGGTGCCGTCCTCACGGCCCCAGCCATGGGAGGTGGGTGACAGGCGCTGGCCCCCAGACCCTCAGCATCAGTAGCTTCGAGTCCAAGTCCCCCAGGGGCCCCTGGCAAGTGTGTGCAGAGGGTCTGGACACATGGACTTGTGACCAGCTGGGCCCTCTCGGGCCTCCCTCCCCCTCTGAGCCGTTAGGGAAAACCCTCCCTGGGTTGTGGCAGTGCTCCGGGCTCACTCCCGACTCTGCACTCAGGGATCCCTCCTGGCAGTGCTCAGGAATCGAACCCGTGCCTGCCAATGATCCAAGAGAAAAAGGAGTGCAAGGCGCACGCCCTGCCCACAGCACTCTCGGCTGCCGTTTAAGGACATGGTTCCTGAAACTCCCCCTCGTGTCTAAACATTCTGATCCGTGCGTCTCTAATTAGCAAACCTTGCCTCCCTCCGTGTGTAAGCTGGAATCTAACCATTTATCTGGAAACTTCCACAGATGACAGAGCTCAGCATTTTAAACAGGATCACAGTCCCTCGTGCCAAAGAGTCTCCTGGAATAGAAATCCTGAAGCTGGTTTCTTCCTAGCCAGAATATATTTTTAAATACATCTTTAAGCTTTGTTTTTTTTTTTTTCCCCGTTGTGGTTTTGCTTTTTTCTTCTCCTCCCAGGACCCCCCTTTCTACTCCACTTGGCTTATAAAACCTTGCTCTGACATTGTGCGACTGTGTTTTTCCTTAAGCATGGTGGGTATCATCTGCAATAAAAAATCTTCAAATAAAATCACAGGCTTTTCAGACTCTCAGATCCTTGGGCCCTAGTGCTGGAATATCTCCGGGGTTTGTTAGGCAGGAGATATTTGCTGTTACTTCTGTGCAGTTTATCAAAGTGGTATTTGTTTGTTTGTTGGTTTGGGGACCACAACTGGCGATGCTCAGGGGTTCCTCCTGACTCTGCACTCAGGAATCACTCCTGGGGGTGCTCAGAGGACCATGTGGGATGTCGGGGATTGAACCCGGGTCGGCTGCATTCAAGGCAAACGCCCTCCCCGCTGTTCTGTTTCTCCAGCCCTCTCAGAGTGCTGTTAATGCCTTATTTCCAAAATGGGGTTAAGGGCGAGTGTGCCCAGGACTCTGTGAGTGAGTCCAGGGCAAGTGCCCTGCGTGGTGTCCGGCCCGTGGCAAACGGCATTGGTGCCAGTGCTCTGTGGTTCTGCTCATGGCCATGGGGGGAGCGTGGGGCTGGGGGCAGCACCTGCACCTCTGCAGGGTTCAGGTCACGGATGACCAGTGGCCCCTGATGGGGGCGTGCAGGGAGCCCGTGTTCTCAGCGGATAGAGCTGCCCCCGCCATGACAGACCCCAGCTGCGCAGCTGGCCTGATTGCACGGAGCAGCTGGACGGAGCGAGAGAGACAGGGAGAGGGAGACAGGAGAGACGGAGAGACGGAAGAGACAGAGAGATGGGAGAGACAGAGAGATGAGAGATATGGAGAGACAGGAGAGACAGAGAAATGGGGGAGATGGAAAGATGGGGGACATGGAGAAGTGGGAGAGACAGAGATGGGAGAGACAGGGAGAGACAGGGAGGTGGGGGAGACAGACGGGAGAAATGGAGAGGCAGGAGAGATGGAGAGGTGGGAGAGACGGAGAAGCGGGAGAGACGGAGAGATGGAGAGACAGAGATGGGAGAGATGAAGAGATGGGAGAGACAAGGAGAGACAGAGAGAAGGGAGAGACAGGGAGATGGGGGAGACAGAGAGATGGGAGAGATGGAGAGATGGGAGAGGTGGAGAGATAGAGAGACTGGGGGAGACGGGAGAGATGGAGAGACGGAGAGATGGGAGAGACAGAGAGATGGAGGGCCGGGCGAGTGTGTCCAGGCTTTGAGCAGCATTCCTCTGCGTGCTGCTGAGGGCCCTGCTCCCCGGTGGACGAGGCAGGTCCCTGGAATGTTCCATGAGGCTGCTGCCTGCACTGAGTCAGGAGAAGCTCGACTCTGCCGAAGGGGCACCCTGGCAGGAGGGACGGGCCTGTCCCAGGGCGGCAGCGTGCAAGGGATCGAGCATCGCCGTGTCCAAGCAGACGTGCTGGGAGCCACAGAGACACACAGACCCCACGGGTACACACACACACACACACACACACACACACACACACGGGTACCCAGACACACACACACAGACATACACACAGACACACACACATAGATACACACACAGGGGTACTCAGACACACACACACACACACACACATGGGTACAGACACACACAGATAAACACATTTTTGGTCCACACGCAGACATATATAAATACATACATAAATACACACACAGACACACAGACACACCCTCCCTCCCCCCCCCCCCCGTGGGGCCCATGAGATGGGTGGGCGTGGAGGCCGTGCAGGGCCGTGTGGGGTGGTGTGGGCAGACATCAGCCCCCGCGGGCTCTGGGCACGGCCTGGCGATGTCCTTTACAGCAGCACCCGCCCTGGGCACGCTGCGGCCCGTGTGCACTTGCAGGGATGCGCACAGCTCGGCACAAGGGTGCCCTAGTGAGGGCGTCTCCCCGGCCTCCTTCCGGCGCCCGCCCGGCTCCTGGGCCAGGGCTTCCCGCTGGGCTTGCTGTCGGCTCCCAGCCTCTGTCCCTGCGCTGCTGCTCCCGCTGTGACCACCGCGCCCACCCCAGCCCTCAGCACGCCGGGAGTGCTGGGCCAGGGTGCGGGCCGAGGGACAGACAGACAGACAGACAGACAGGCAGACCTGTGCTGAGGGCCCCTGCCCGAGCAACACGGCACCAGGGCCAGACAGACAGACCTGGGCTAAGGTGTGCACCAGGCTCACCCCACGGCACGCTGAGCCCTGTGCAGACGTGTCAGCAGGGGGAGAGACTCCCAGGGAAAGTGGGTTTCCAGAGCATGTCCAGGCTCTGCACGCGGGGTCCCACATCAGCCTTGCGACCCCCCAGGACCCCCGGGAAGGGGCAGGATGGAACCTGCTTCCCTGTGGCTGGGCACTGTCCTAGTCTTGGGCCCCTCCCCCTACCCGCGACCTCAGTGACCTGTCCCGGGGGCACCGGAAGTTTCCTTGTGGGCTGGCCCAAGGGTCCCTTGGTGGTCTAGAGGGGAGGACGGGTCAGCACAGCCCTCAGCCCCTTCCCCGCCCCACAGCTGAGGCCCCAGGCCGCAGGACCGTGGGCACTTGCTGGGGACTGAGTCGGGGCAGGACTGGCCCCCACCCTCTGAGCCGCTTTCTCTTCCAGAGCCCTGGAGGGCGGCACTCGGCACCCCCTGCTCACCCTGAGACCGTTCCTCAAGAGGGCTGCACTGGTCGTGACCTACGTATGTATCTCGGCATCACTGTCCATGCGCTCGGCCCTGGGAATGACTCGTGTCCTGTCCCTGGGAATATCCGTGTCCTCCTGGGAACATGTGCCCATCCTTGGTCCATCTGCATGTCCCAGAGCCGGGGAGTGGACCCGGGTCAGCCGGTTCAGCTGTGTGCCCTGCCCTGGGCTGCCCCCACCCTGTCCCTGCCCCTGCCCCTGACTCATGCCCAGTGCTCCCTATCACCCGTCCCTGTCCCTGTCCCCCGGACTGCAGGCAGGCTGCCCACTGACCCTCACCTGGGGTCTGGGGTTCACTCAGTGGGGGTGCCCGTGCGCCCTGCAGGTGGTGCCCCTGGGGAGTGGCCGGGACTCGGCATGGGCCTTGCGGAGGCTGTGCAGGGGCATGGGGGGATTTGGGGAAGGGGGCTTTTTCCCAACACAGGACACGGGACGGGACTTGCAATCCCCAGCTTGGGGCCTCAGTTTCCACCTGGGAGCAAGGCTGAGAGCCGACCCTGTGTGGGCTGATGCATTATGTTTGGCGGGGCCTCCGGAGGGCTGCCTGGGGTCTCCCCGGCCCGGGGGCCAGGCGCTGATGCGCTTCCCTGCAGGTGACCGTCCTCCTGGGCCTGCGGCTGTGGATCATGGGCGGCTCCCTGCCGCTCTTCTCCGAGCAGGACAACCCTGCGTCCTTCTCGCCTTACCTCCTCACCAGGTCAGTGGGCGCCCGCGGGGGGCCGCAGGGTCTGCACACACAGCCTGGGGCCAGCGTGCCTGCAGAGAGGGGGTCCGGGTTCCCCCTGCCTGGGGGCCCCTATAGCCTGCCACCAGTGGGCGGGTGGCCCAGAGCAGTGGGCACTTTGGGGACGCCACAGCCCTGGGATGTGGCAGCCGTGGGTAGGTGAGGCGCCCAGAGGTTTCCTGCATCCAGGTAGCCACTGGTTGGACGCGCGGCTGCGCCCGGCGTGTTCTGGCCGACGCTTGTTGCAGCCGCCCGCCCTGTCCCTGCCCGTGTTCCCGTCAGGATCTTGGCGCCGGGCACACCTGTCTTCCTGCCTCCCGCACTTCCCAGCTCGGCTGGACGCCAGATGCCGCTTCCTGCCGCTTCCTGGCATGGACGCTCGAGCGGGATCTCCCTGCCTTCTCGGCCTCTCTTATTCTTGTTTCTGATATTCTTTAGCCCACCTGTTTTGGGGGTGGGGGTTAGTTTCCCATCTTAAAAGGATCCTTTCGAGTAAGAGGAAGAACGATCACGTGCCCCTGATGTGTGGAGAAGCAAGAAAGGGACAGAGTGTCGGGACCGACAGCCCTTCCCTTGGCCCACACACGGGCCAGTAGGGAAGGGGGACGAGGCGGCAGGTTCCACCTGACGGAGGGGCCGTGGGGGGCAGTGGACAGGACTGGGGGCGCAGTGGTAGAGGGACAGTGGGGCATGTGAGGGGACAGAGGTGTTGAGACCGTGGGGGTCAGTAGTGGGGGGACGATGGGGGGGAAGCAGAGTCACCAAAGTTCACCCAAACAGTTGATGCAGGGTCTGTTGTAAACACGCGACAAAGTCTGATAGCGAATCAGGGGCTGAGCGATCGGATCTGTCTGGGCAGTGGCCTCGTGTGCCACCACCCCGGTCACTCCCCTCGCCTGGCCCCTCCTGGGGACATGCAGCGTCCACGCCGCACCCGTGTGGCCAGCAGCACGGGTCTGGGGAGAATGAAGGGGAGAGGCCACTCCGGGGGCCACGGCACGATTGGGCCCCAGCTTGGAGGGTCCCTGTGCGTGTTCTCGCTCCCTGTGTGGACGCTGCCCGGGCGGGGGTTTTCCCCCTCTCTCTCCCTCCTCTCCTTCTGTGCCAGATAATCTTCAGGTATGTTATCAAATTAATTAATTTGATCCCCACGAAACCCCATGAGGTCTCGGGTCTCGGTCTCTCTCTCTCTCTCTCTCTCTCTCTCTCTCACACACACACACACACACACACACACACACTGCTCTCTCCTGGATAGGTTAAAATTTTTTGTGTGTAAACAGATTCTTTGGGAACTCAGCTGACACAGCAAATCATTGTTTTAAGACAGGCGACCACTTAAAAAATGTTGAAGTGGCACTTAGGATTTCTGCACATATGAGCAGTGACCTCCCTCCCTCTCCCCCTCTCCCCTTCCCTCCCGCCCTCTCTCCCTCCCTCTCTCCCTCCCCCTCTCTCTCTTCCTCTCTCTCTTCCTCTCTCCCTCCCTCTCTCCCTCCCTCTCTCCCTCCCCCTCTCTCTCTTCCTCTCTCTCTTCCTCTCTCCCTCCCTCTCTCCCTCTCTCTTTTTCTCTCTCCCTCTCCCCCTCTTTCTCTCCTCTTCCATTTCCCTTTCCCCCCAGGGTTTCTTGGAACTATGGCTCAGGCGTTTCTTCTTCGCTGGTTTATTCCGTGCATTCAGCAGGAGGAAATACCTGCTGGTCTTCGCTCAGCAAAGCTGGGACACGGAGGCAGTGTGCTGTGGGGGCCTTTGTTGTGTGGCAGAGGCCGGGAGCGGCCGGTGGCTGTCCTCTGCTGCTGGCTGGGAGTGGCCGTGGCCTCTTGATGCCAAAGCCCCTGCCTCCCCGGGACCGTTTCCAGCGTCCGCGGGCACCGCAGAGGGGACAGTCCCGGGGAGACAGTTGCTGGGGTTGGTTTACAGCTGGTTTAGGTTCCAGTCACGTAGCCTTCCATACTCACGTGGGAATTGTGAATCTTAGAAATCTTAGCTTTCCTTTCCTTCCTGGGAAGAACCGAGTTGCAAGTCTAGAATGTAGGAGAAGCTGAGGGCTGTGCCGAGTCGGAATTAATTGTCTTTATTTATCTGTTACTGGATTTGGCATATCGACTATTCCATGGATACTGGCACCGGCTCGAGTAAATCGATGAGTAACGGGGTATCAAGTGATCAAGTGATCAAGTATCTGTTATAGTTGTGTTATTAAGTACATCCTCCAGAACGGCAATGGAGAAGATTATCCATGACTTCTACTCAAATCTCTTCGATAGCCATGTCCACTTGCCGACATACCAAATTCCACAGGATGGGCATGTCTTTCCCAACGTTCTCCCTTCCGAAATCCGACACGCCATTTCGTCAGTAAAGAAGCAAACAGCACCCGGCCCAGACAAGGTCAGACCTGAACACCTGAAGAACCTGCCGTCAGTACTCATCAATACACTGGCTCGGCTCTTCACTCGCTACCTGTCTGAATGCAAGGTTCCATCTCAATGGAAAACCAGCAGGACCGTACTACTGTTCAAGAAGGGAGACATCCATGACATTGGCAACTATCGCCCGATCTGCCTATTGTCTGTCATCTACAAGTTGTTCACTCGAGTCATCCTGAATAGGATTGGCAGAACACTAGATGAAGGACAACCATGTGAGCAAGCAGGGTTCCGCAAAGGATTCAGCACCATCGATCATATCCACACGATAACCAAACTCATTGAGGTTTCTCGGGAGTTCAAGATGCCGCTCTGCTTAACGTTCATTGATTTAAAGAAGGCCTTTGATTCTGTTGAGACGGAAGTGGTCATTGAAGCCCTAGCCAATCAGGGCATTCAAGCCCAATACATCAGGATCCTCCGTGAGCTGTATTGCGGATTCACTACCAGGATCTCACCATTCTACAAAGAAGTGATCGTTGATGTCAAGAGAGGGGTGCGGCAGGGTGATACCATTTCACCAAAACTCTTCAGTGCCACCCTCGAGAACATCATGCGACGACTGGAATGGGAAGGAATGGGAGTGAAGATAGATGGTCGGCAACTACACCACCTCCGCTTTGCTGATGACATTGTTTTAATAACACCAAACATCAGCCAAGCGGCACAAATGCTGGCCGACTTTGACCGTGAGTGTGGAAAGGTAGGACTACAGCTGAATCTTACGAAGACAATGTTTATGAGAAACAGCCTTGTTCCTGACGCCCCATTCGCTCTCAATGGAACGACCATCTCCGAATGCAACAGCTATGTGTACCTAGGTCGAGAGGTCAACATGATAAATGACCTGGCACCCGAGCTGCGCAGGAGGAGGAGAGCGGCTTGGAACGCCTTCAAGAACGTCGAAGAAATAGCTAAGAGGACGAAGAACCTCCGGCTCCGGGCACATCTCTTTGATTCCACTGTTCTTCCTGCATTAACATATGCCTCAGAGACCTGGGCCCTACGCAAACAAGATGAGAACGCCATTCAGGTCTCCCAAAGAAGAATAGAAAGAGCTATGCTTGGAATATCACGTTTCACTCAAATGAGAGAACGAATCCGGAGTTCTGACATCCGTCGACGATCAAGGATCAGGGACGCTGTCTCATTTGCCAAGGTGTCGAAAATCAGATGGGCTGGTCACGTAATGAGATTTAAAGACGACCGTTGGACTAGAGCTGTTACTGATTGGATTCCACGGGATGTCAAGAGACCGCGTGGCCGCCCACCTACCAGATGGTCAGACTTCTTTGTCAAGGTCATGAACGATCGGTTTGAGGCCCTCCATGTTCCCGGAGCGAAGAAATGCCATTGGGCTACACTAGCACGCGACAGGGACAAATGGAGACGTTACTGGCGCCCGCTCGAGCAAATCGACGACTAACGGGAAGTTAAGTGATTTAAGTGATTAAGTGATTAAGTATTATAACGGAATACGTAGCACAGTGGGTAGGGCATTTACCTTGCACGCGACTGACCCAGCCGACCTGGGTTTGATTCCTCCACCCCTCTCTGAGAGCCCGGCAAGCTACAAAGAGTATCTCACCTGCACAGCCTGGCAAGCTCCCCGTGGCATATTCGATATGCCAAACACAGTAACAACAAGTCTCACAATGGAGACGTTACTGGGCCTGCTGGAGCAAATTGATGAACAATGGGAGGACAGTGACAGTGACAGTGACGTATTCCATTAGAATTTCAAATAATTGTCTTAGTCTTCAGTGTCTGGAGGGGGACGCCCGTGCCTGTGGCCTTTCCCTGGTGCCCAACAGACGGGTTCTGTGCAGGGGAAGACCAGCCTGCCTCCTGGCCCTGGCCCTGCTGTCCACTAGCCACCAGGACCTGCCTTCTGGGGCCAGACCCGCTGCCATCCACACCCCCTGTGGGCTGCTGCTCTTTGCCTGGCCAGGGCCCGGGGCTGGCCTGGGTGTGTGGCCAGTGTGGGTCTGTGGCTGGGCCGTGACCACGCTAGGCCAGGCGGGCTCAGGGGCTGGGGCTGTGTCCGGGGTGGTCACGAAGCCCCTAACTGGCCGAACCCCACAGCACCTGGCCCCTCGACTGTGCTGGTCAGCCCTCCCTGGGGGTGTGGCCTCCCTGCAGCCTCGGGGCCTGACCAGGGTCAGAGAGAGGCCTGTGGGCTGGAGACCCCACCGACCTGCTCACCCCAGCCGCCCACTTCCTGCCCCCATTCCTGCAGCTGAGGCCTGAGAGGCCATTAGTGTCGGAGTTGCCCCGACACCCATGCCCCGTCCGCCCCCTCCGTGCCCGGTCCTGTGGAATCACTGGGTCCAGTGGGGCCCAGATGCCTGTTGCCCCTTACCTGGGACTGTGGGTTCCCGGTGTCTCCACACGCGTGTCCTGCTGCCGTGGCGAGGTGCCCAGGGCCGGGGGGAGGGGGCGACGGGGAGGCCGTGGCCGGCCGTGCTGGTGCTCAGGGCCGCGTCCCGGCAGGTTCCTCACCTACTGCTACCTCCTGGCCTTCAACGCGTGGCTGCTGCTGGCGCCTGTCACGCTGTGCTACGACTGGCAGGTGGGCAGCATCCCGCTGGTGGAGAGCCTGTGGGACGTCCGCAACCTGGCCAGCTTGCTGCTGGCCGTCGCCCTGGGCGCGCTCGGCCTACACTGCCTGCTGGCCCTCAAGGTGAGTGGGTGGGGGGCGGGCGGGGCTGGGTGATGCCACAGACGCTCCTCGGGCCGGACCCTAGAGCCCCCAGCCGGTTAGGGCCTTTCCCTGGGCCAGACCCCGGACCCTGGAGCCCCCCTGGCAAGTCAGGGCCTTTCCCCGGGCCGGACCCTGGAGCCCAGAGCCCCTGGCCAGTCAGGGGCCTTTCCATGGGCTGGACCCTGGACCCTGGAGACCCCGCGGCCAGTTAGGACCTTTCCCCTGGCCAGACCCTAGACCCCGGAGACCCCCCGGCGAGTCAGGACCTTTCCCCGGGCCGGACCCTGGAGCCGGAACCCCTGGCCGGTCAGGGCCTTTTTCCCCGGCCAGACCCCGGATCCCGGAGCCCCCCGGCCAGTCAGAACCTTTCCCCGGGCCAGACCCTGGAGCCCGGAGTCCCCAGCCAGTCAGGGTCTTTCCCCAGGCTGGACTCTGGAGCCCCCCAGCCAGTCAGGGGCCTTTCCCCAGGCGTGACTGTGTCCTTGTGACCCTCCTCGGGTTCTGGGCCCCCAGCGTCCACGAGCTGTTGTAGCATCGCCCATAGACTCGGATCTGGAATTGACAATTTGCAGAGAAGGAACACACACAAAACCTTTTCTGCTGCTTTTGGATCCCACCGACAGTGCCCAGGACGGGGTATGCTTGGGGCCTGCCTGCGGTGCCTGGGATGAATCCCGGGCCGGCCCCGGGCAAGGCAGGCACCGTCACCTCTGACCTCCAGCCCCCAGCGGGCAAACGTTTCCCCTGCGCTCGCTGGCAGCCACTGGCCTTGGGGGTTCTGTATCGATCGGCGTGCTGGTGGTCAGCCGTGATGTGTCCGGGGACAGCCGGGGGCCAGCGGGCGCTGTGGCGAGGGGCGCACGCTGACTTGTGCCCGCTGTTCGCAGAGGCCGGAGCACAGGGAGCCGCTGCTGGGCCTCCTCTTCCTCGTCCTGCCCTTCCTCCCGGCCAGCAACCTCTTCTTCAGGGTGGGCTTCGTGGTGGCCGAGCGGGTCCTGTACATGCCCAGGTAACTGCGCAGCGCGGGCAGCCCCGAGCTGGACATGAGCCCCCATGCCCACTTCCCCCAGAAGCCCCTCAGCGCTGGCTCGGGGGTCCCCCACCCTGCCCTGGGCAGGCTGCGGCCACAGTGCGGACACCCCAGTCTGGGACCCAGTGAGAGCATCGGCATGGAAACCGAGTGACCGGCGGACGGCCTGCTCCCTCGCTGACCCTCCTCCCTGCCCTCCTCCCCTCTCCATCCTCCCTCCACCCCTCCCTCCCTCTCTCCCTCCTTCCCTCCTTCCCTCCCTTTCTTCTTTCCTTCCTTCCTTTCTTTCCTTCTTTCCACTTCTCTCTCCCCTTCTTTCCTCCCTCCCTCCCACCCTCCCTCCCTTCCTCTTTCGACTTCTCCCTCTCTCTTTCCATCCTTCCTCCTTTCCTTTCTTTCTGCCTTCTCCTCTCTCCTTCCTTTCCTCCTCCGTCCCTCCCTCCCTCCTTCTCTCCTTCCCTCCTTCCTCCCCTTCCCCTCTCCCTCTCCCTCCTGTTAGACACAGGGGCCCAGAGATTCAGGTACTTGCCTTGCCTGTGGTCAACCCAGTGCATAACACCAAGCACTTCTGGGTCCATCCTGGTCCCGATCCGCAGGGCCCAGAAGCACCTCAGACCCTTGCACTGTGCCGCCTGGGAGACCCCGCCCCAGAGAGAATGACGGGGAGCACCTGGGCGGGGGTGTGACCGGCTGGTCACATGTGAGGTCCTGGGTCCATCCCTGCCCGCCTCACACCAGGGCTGTGCTACTGGCCGTGTGCCCGTGTTGGGCTTCCCGGGGAGGCCCACGTCACCCACGTGTCATCGCTCCTTATCCTCACGAAGAGGCAGAGGGTACCTGCAGGGTCAGAGGGCGGCAGGGAGGTTGGGGAGAGTCAGAGATTGGTTGGGAGGAGGTCAGAGGTCATGAAGGAACTGGTCAGGTCAGCCAGGAGCAGGTCAGAGGTCAGTCAGGAGCTGGTCAGGTCAGTCAGGAGTGGGTCAAGTTAGTCAGGAACCAGTCAGGTCAGTCAGGAGAGAGTCAAGTCAGTCAGGATCGGGTGAAGGTCAGTCAGGAGCAGGTCAGATCAGTCAGGAGCAGGTCAGAGGTCAGTTGGGAGCTGGTCAGGTCAGTCAGGAGCTTGCCAGAGGTTAGTCAGGAGATGGTCAGATCAGTCAGGAGCTGGTCAAAGGTCAGCAAGAGCGAGTTAGGTCAGTCAGGAGGGTCAGGCCAGTTAGGAGTGAGTGGGTCAAGTTAGTCAGGAACCAGACAGGTCAGTCAGGAGAGAGTCAAGTCAGTCAGGATCGGGTGAAGGTCAGTCAGGAGCAGGTCAGGCCTGTCAGGAGCAGTTTCCTGTGACGAACTGTCCTGCCACCTGCCCTGCATTTTGGGACCCCCTGGCCTGGCCTTGAGAATGCTCCGGGGAGGCCCCCAGTGACCCCCATCCCCCGTTGGCCCCACCCCCATCTCCCGAGTGACCCCACTCCCCCAGCCCCCTGAGCGACCCCCTGCCGCCAGGTCACTCTCCCCGCCCCTGAGTGACCCCGCCCCGTCTCCAGGTGACCCCCCGTTCCCCGTTCCAGCATGGGCTACTGCATCCTGCTGGTGCACGGGCTGAGCAGGCTGAGCGCGGGGCTGCCGCGGGCCGGGGCTGCCCTCGCCGTGTCCACCCTGCTGCTGCTGCTGCTCTTCTCCTGGAAGACCGTGAAGCAGAACGAGGTCTGGCTGTCCCGGGAGGCCCTCTTCAGGTCGGTGCCTGCGCCGTGCTCCTGCTCGGTGACCCCTGAGACCCCCTCAGTGTCCCCCGAGTCCCCCCTCAGTGACTCCCATGCCCTCCCTCAGTGACCCCTGAATCCCCCCTCAGTGACTCCAGAGTCCCCTGTCAGTGACCCCGAAGTCCCCCCTCAGTGACCCCCAAGTCCACACAGTGACCCCCGAGTCCCCCCTCAGTGACCTCCGAGTCCCCCTCGGTGACCCCCGAGTCCCCCCTCAGTGACCCCTGTGTTCTCTCAGTGACCCCTGAGTCCCCCTTCAGTGACCCTGAATCCCTCCTCAGTGACCTCCGAGTCCCTCCTCAGTGACCCCTGAGTTCCCCCTTAGTGATCCCCATATCCCCTCAGTGACCCCTGTGTCCCCTCAGTGACCCCCGAGTCCCCCTCAGTGACCCTCCCCTGTGGCCCCATGGCTGTCCTCCCGTGTCGCCCGTGTGCCACTGAGTCGCAGCCTTGCCCATAGCTGTCCCGGGTGCTCTGGAGAGGACAGAGCCTGAGGGGCCGGGGGGGACAGGTGGGGACAGGGAGACGTGTGGCCTCGGGACTCTGCCGTCCTACCGTGAGCCCAGCCCGGCGCGTCCCTGTGGGGGCCCTGGGTGAAGGGCCAGGCCTGTCCCTGTCCCGAGACTGCCCGGGGCCCCAGAGCTTCTGCACAACAGCAGCGACCCCCTGTGCGGCGCCCTCCTGGCTGCTGTGATCTGTGCCTGGCCTGTCCTCACGTGACCCTTGGTCCCTGCCCCTGCAGGAGGGGCTTGTTTCCTGCCCCCAGGCACTGCAGGCTCCTGGGGTCCAAAGGGGGCAGGAGTGGGGGGAGCCGACATGCAGCCTCCAGGCCTCACCCTCCACCCCAGGAATAAACACAGCGTAGGGGCAGTGGGTTCTGCCTCGTGGGCGAGTCCCGGGTTCGACCCCATGCTGCCCGTCCACGTGCATGGCCATGTGGGTCTCACGGTGCTACCAGATGCAGGAACCACCGCCTGCCTGGCCCTGGAGAGCAGAGGCGGGAGCCCAGGCAGAAGGACGGGAGCCCGTGGCCTGGCTCCTCCCTGGGGGCTGAGCCTCTGGCCGCAGCCCTGCACCCCAGCGTCCAGCGTCCAGCGGGGCGTCCGCCCGAGGGCGCCTCCCTGGCAGGAGGCAGCCCAGGCTCGGAACACTCCCCAACACGCCTCGTCCCTCTGTCCTGTAGGTCCGGAGTCCAGACTCTGCCCCACAACGCCAAGGTCCACTACAATTACGCCAACTTCCTGAAGGACCAGGGCCGGGAGCGGGAGGCCGTCCACCACTACCAGACTGCCCTCAGGTGAGCGCCGGCCCTCCACAGCCCTGGGCCCAGCTGTCCACCCCCACAGCCCTCTCCTGGGAGTCCTGGGTCTTGGGACGCGGACCCCCACAGGTGGAACATGGGCCCCTAGTGGTAACTGGACCCCCATCCTGTAACATGGGTCTCCCCGGGTGGGATGTGGGCCCATGTGGTGTAAGTGGCCCTCCGCCTGGTGGAGTGTGAGCCCCAGCCTGTGCTCACTGTTGGGGTCCCCGGAGCCCCCCATGGCTGTGTGTCCCCACAGGGCTCTGGTGTGCCCCGGTGCGGGTTCCAGCAGGACGCAGTGGTGCTCCCCGGGGCCATTAATGCCTGTGCTCACGGGCACGCGTGTTCCCAGCCTTCCAGGCCCTCTCCTGCCCCCCTGGGTGTCGGCACTGAACCCTGATGCCCCAGCCGGAGTCACTGGGGTGGGTGACCTCCGCCGAGGATGCAGAGAACAGGGCCAGGGCCAGAGGCTGGTCGGTGCCAGTGGCCGCCGTCACTGTCCCCCTGGAGATGGGCTGAGGGTCCACAGCCCTGGGAGCGGACAGTGTATGTGTCTGCGCTCAGCCCTGCACACTCAGGAGGAGACTCACACCCTCTGGTGCCTGCAGGGGTGTCCGGGGGGCAAGGGCTTCACACGCAGGAGGTGCCGCCCTGGGCCAGGCGGATGCTGGATGCCCTATCTCCTGCTCCCATGGGCTCCTGGGGCCTCCCCCGGGGCACACACTCTCCCGGGAAGCTCAGCCCTTGGGGCCGGGTCTTGGAGAGTTGGGAACGGCTGCAGCGGTCAGCATAGGCCGTGGTGGCCACGGCACGCGCCTTTATGCTCTCAGTGGGGGTTTCTGGGGTTGCCCGTGACCATCAGAACAACCGGTCATCCGTGTTGGAGAGAAAGAAGAGCGAGGCCATGGGCACTGTGGCTGGCTGGCCTCCGCCCAGGCTGTGGCCTTGTGTTCATGCTGCAGCCACTTTCTAGAAGCTTCTGGGATGCTGCCCTCCCCCGCCCGGCTGGCTGTGTCACAGGGTCTCGGCAGCATGGGGGCAGCAGGATGTTTGTCCCAGAGAGCAGCTCCTGGCGGGGCCCAGTGCCCTGGGAAGAAGCCAGTGCTGAGGGCGCGGCCAGGCCCTGCTGCCGCTTCCGACGAGCTTCTTGTCAGCCATGTCACCCGTCCTCCCGCGGTCCTCGGTCCTCTGTGTGTCCAGTGCTGGGCATCGCCCTGGTGAGACTCTGCTGTCATGACTGGAGGCTGCGGCTCTCCCTTGCCACACCTGTCCCGCTGGTTCTGGAAGCTTGGGGTCTGGGGCCACACTGCTGTGTTACAGCTGCATCCTGACCCCTTGGCTCCAAGGCCCCGGGGACGCGCTTGGCCATTCTGCCTCCTGGGAGACCCCCCACGCGCAGCCCCCCGCACAGAAATGCCCCATGCCTCCTCCAAGAAGCCCCCCAGGCTGGGCTGAGCGGGACGTGGCTGCGGTGTCGCTGTGTGGGAGGGAGTTTCGAGTCAGGTGGGGGAAGGTCTGCGAGCTCGGGGAGGTGGCCAGCACCCCCACAACAGCTTCCTACCCTCACCCACTGCCCCTGGGAGGGGGTCCCGATCTCTGCCGTGGAAGGATCAGGAGCGGCTTGTTCTCTCTCTGGGAGTCCCGGGAGGAAGGGGAGTCTGGCCATTTCCGATGGTCAGTTCCTGGGGGACTACCCTGCCCGGCTCTTCCCTGCAGGGCCCCGGAAGGCAGGTAGCCACCAGCCGGCTGTGTCCACTTCCTGGACCACGGGGCAGGTCCCAGTCTGTGCCAGACGGGAGGAGTGCTGTGCCGAGTTTCAGACCCCCAGTCGCGGAGAGACCGAGTCCACACACACGATAATGCAGAAGCAAAGGGACTTTATACTAGCCCGAGCCAGCGCTAGCCCGAGCTAGGGTCCGAGTCTTATCCAACACAGTGGAGTCTTGAGAAGGACCCCGACTCCAAATCACAAGCGGTTTATACAGGGCTCGGAGTTAAGAGGCAGTTCCTGTGTGCTGGGTTATTTTTAGCATCGGCCCTATTACAATGGTGGTCCGCAATTAGACAATGGTCAGTAACGGTTTCTAAGAAGGGGACAGTGACCGCTCATGACCGGCCAGACCCAACTGCCCAATTCCTTATCTCGGCAAATGACCCAACTGGGAGTTTAGCAGCAACCGCAAGTCCTGCTCCAGGGAAACAGAAACTGAGGTTGAGGCTTAATGTTGCTGCAGCCTCACGGGAGCAAACTCAGGACTGGGCTGGGACCACAGAGACTGGGTCGGCCCCCGCCCCGAGGAGGGCCACAACCCCAGCCTCTCACACTGAATTGCACCTGCATTGGTTGAGACTCCCCGGGAGTGGCCTTGGGGATCCCCACCCAAGCAGAGGGAGCAGCACAGCAGGGCTGGCCGGCAGGGTCCGTGGCCACGTCCTTCCGGAGGAGAGCGGCCGTGCTCTCACCAGCGCACAGTTCATGGGTGGACTTGGTCCAGTTACGGTTTTCTCTGGCTTCGTTTTCTTTTCCCTCCGGAGGAGTTAGAACATGAGCGTCTGACCCCAGCCCTCCCTGGACAGACCCGGGTCTGCTCTGAGAGGACCCTGTAGCCGGACTCCCGGCACATGGCCCCTGACACCGGCTCCTTTCCATGGGCCGGAGCCACGGGAGCCGTGTCCTCGGTGGCCTCTCCTCCCAAGCCCTGGCTGCCGTCACACCCAGGGACAGAGGGACAGGTGGCTCTGAACGGCCACCAGACCTGGCACCGTGAACCTTGACTGCGGCAGAACATGCCACGTTGCATGGGGAAACCCATGTGTCTCCAGGAGGGTCGTCTCCCTGACGCCTGGCAGTGTGGCAGCTTTGGAGTTGCCTTTCCACGCTGCACGAAGGGGCATCACGCTTCGTTCTCCTCAGGGACACGGGGCCTGTCCCCACGGAGCAGGGACGGCGAGGCCGCCTGTGGCTCCTTCAGGCCCAGCCGTGCCGGGAGCCGGCGTGGTGCAGAGCTGCAGGGAAGGACAAGGGGGTTTCCAGACCCCCGTGACCTACGTCTGATGCCGAGACACGTTTGCATTACCACTGTTCCCGCTGCTGCGTGCTCTCGCTGAGCGAGCCGGGGAAGGAATCGGAGCCTCTGGCCGGGCAGCGTGGCCGAGACGGGCACTGGGGTGGGGCAGAGACTGGCGTGCAGGGGGCCCGAGTTGAGTCACTGGCCTTGCGGGTGCTTCCCGCCGAGTGTGGCCTCTGGGATACGGAAACAGGCCAAACACAAGGCCGGCACCCCGGGACCCCCAGCACCACCGCGGCCCCCCACCCCGACACGAGACCAGGAGGCCTGAGGGATGCCCGGGCGAGCGCAGCCCTGGCCACGGCGCTGAGCGGGGGCCCATGCGCCCAGGCCCCCACGGGCACCTGCCTTCATCACAGAGGAGAGTTCAGCGCCGCGTCCTGGTGGCAGAGGGCCGGGGGCAGGCACGCACCGGGCCGGTGGCGCTCACACCCCTGCTCTTCCAGGCTGTACCCGCGCCACGCCAGTGCCCTGAACAACCTTGGCACCCTGACCAAAGACACCGCGGAGGCCAAGTCCTACTACCAGCGGGCCCTGAGGCTGAACCCGCAGCACCACCGCGCGCTCTTCAACCTGGGCAACCTCCTCAGGTGGGTGCCGCGGCTCCCAACCGCCACCGCCTGGCCCGGCGGGAGACCAGGGGGCGAGAGTTGGGGGGGGGGGTGTCCTTTTGCCTGAGGCCAGTTGCTGGGCACAGAGAGGGTGTGTGTGTGTGTGTCTGTGTCTGTGTGCGCGTGTGTGCATGTGTGTGCATGTGTGTATGCATGTGTATGTGCATGTGTTTGTGTGTGTGTGTGTGTGTGTGTGTGAGAGAATGAGAGAGGGAGAACACCTCTGAGCACCCAGGTCCCCGACATGGCCATGAGGTTCTGCACTGGGTGTCCGAGGAGTGAATGGACGAAACGGGGGTTTCTCGCAGACGAGGCTTCAGGGTGGCCCCTCGGCGGGCAGGCGGGGCAACATTCCCTCACCTCTGGGCGGCCACTCCCTGAGGACAGCACAGGTCAGGAGAAGCCTTCTGCTCCCCTGTCGGGGGCCACTTCCTGTAGGCCAGGGATGGGCCCCCTGCACACCCCTGGACGCTCCCTCGGGCCGTTGAGGCAGTGGGATCCCTTTCTTCCTCCAGCTCCTCAGGTTCTCACCATCATCCTGTGACTCGGAACAGCGTAGCTCTTCACCTTGCTCACTAGAACATTCTCTCTCCCTCTCTGTTCCCCTCTCTCTCTCTCTCTCTCTCACACACACACACACACACACACACGCACATGCTTCCCACAACACCACTGTGTGAAGAAATATGTGTGTGTTTCTCTCTCCCACACAACATTCACATCACACATTTTTCACAACTCCACGACTGTGTAAAGAAATATGTGTGTATCTTTCACGCACGCACACACACACACACACACACTTCCCATGACTGTCTGAGGAAATGTCTCTCACACACAAACTTCACACATCCCATAACTGTGTATGAGGAAATGTGTGTTGTGTGTCTCACACCCACACACTCATACTCTTCTCATGGCATGGCTGTGTGAGAAGTGTGTGACACACACATCTTCTGTGGCACACACTGTTCCCATGATTTTGAGAAAATGTGTCTCTTCCACACACAGACACCCCCCCCCACACACACACACCCTTCCCACAGCTGTGTGTGAGGAAATCTGTCTCTCTCTCTCTCTCTCACACACACACACACACACACACACAGACAACTGTTTGAGGAATTATTGTCTCACACACACTCTTGCATGAGGAAATGTGTATCACACACACTCTTCTGACAGCTGTGTGAGTAAATCTCTCTCTCTCTCTCTCTCTCTCTCTCACACACACACACACACACACACACACACACACACGTGTATTTCCATTCAGGCCCTTGCAGGGAGCTGATCGTAGACCAACCAACAGTGTCTGAATATTTTTCAGAAACGGATTCATCCATTCACAAGAACCTCAAAGCAGGAAATTGGTGCACAGAGACTAAGTGTGAGGGGGACGGAATTAACGTGGCGTCAGAGCGTAGACACGGCTCCACTTGGGCCTGGGGTGGAGATGTGATGGAGACCGGGGGCAGGTGGGGGTGCTTCCCGGAGCCCCTCGCCGCTGCCCCACCCTCTGTCTGTCGGGGTCTCTGGCCAGCGGGAGCCTCACAGGGCGTGTCCAGGCTGGGCAGGGCTGTGTCTGCCCCCAGCCTCGCGCTGACCGGGGTGGCGTCCGCAGAAACACCGCCAGAGTCGCTGCGTGCTGACCTTCCCGGGCAGGCGCTCCCCGACTAGCCTCTCCTCACTTCCCCTTGGTGCCACCCGCCTCTCTGGAATTTTCCATGTGAGTGGAAGCCACAGAGTTCTCTGGAGAGTGGCCTGGAATTTTCCGTGTGAGCAGAGCTCCCTGGGGCGTCCTTTGGCCAGTGCTCTGGAGCCGGTCCAGGGGCTTAGAGAGCACAGCGCAGTGCCTCTGGCCCCTGGCTCGGAGCCTGGCGGGGACGCCCGGGAGTGGCCGTGGGCTGGTCTGGTGTCCAGCGGCACCGTGTGGCCGTGTCCTCACACTGCTGTCCCTCCAAACCAACGTCGGCGACGTTTGGGGAAGAAGCTGTTGAGCACATTGACTGTGTCTGGGAGGCCTCCCTGGGGTCTGCGGGAGTCGGCCGCTAGCCACAGGTGTCCAGGCTGTCTGCGGATCATTCTAGAGTCCCACAGCGAGCTTGTGTGTGGACGCTGCTGGTTCCATTCGCTGTTGTTTGGTCTTTTGGGTGGCGGCAGCAGCCTGGTCCTGGTTGACTGACAAGGAACCCAGGCTGCCAACTCGTGGACGTTGGCCGAGGCCGGGTCTGTTCAGCCGTCAGCCCGGCTGCGGGTCCCTTGCGACGGCCTCACTGCCTATCATGCAAGGCGCAGGGTCCCTCGCGCTCGGGTTCTGGGGTTTGGGCTTTGGGGATTTTGCGGGGTTGTGGGGATGGCTTGGGCCACACCCCACACGTGCTCAGGAGTCACTCCTGGCGGGACTTGGGGACCTTTGGGGTGCCAGGGGTCAAACCTGGGTCAGTTGCCCGCAAGGCAAGTGCCCTTCCTGCTGTCCTGTTGCCGCCGGCCCTCATTCTCCGAGGCGGCCAGGGAGTCTCGCCTCATGCCTTCAGGGCACCAGAACCAGCATCCGGGTCACGCTTGTGTCCGCACCCCAGCTCTGGGCAGCGGGTGCCCCAGCCCCATGGACAGGTCAGCGGTGCCTGGACACGAGGCTCGGTGCTGGACCCTACACTGTCGGCCATGCAGTCTCCAGGCTAAGGGTGCCGGGGGTCTGCGTGGGAGGGCCGCAGAGAGACATGCCGGCAGCCCCCAGCACCTCCACATGCCCTGACCCCGCTGGCCCGTCCCGGGCGGGAGGTGAGGTCAGAAGAGGCGATTTCCCTTTCTTTTGGGGATGTGTGATTCCGGCTGACCACCCCCCGGGGACAGTGCGCACTCTACCTGGCCTGCAGTGAGCAACTGTGGGTGTCCCTCTCCAAGCTGCTTGAGGCCCTGGGAGAGGCTAGAGGGGTCCAGCCCCTGGCACCCAGAGCCTCCTGGTCCCTTGGACAATGTGTGGCCCAGAGGCCCCGAGGAACGGGAGTGCCAGCCAGCACCTCTTACAAGGAGGGGTCAGCCCGGCTGGGAGGCAGCTGGCCTGCGTGTTGTGGCGCCCGGCGTCTCAGCCCGCACGGCCGACACTGGACGCTGGCGGGGCCTTGCCTTCAGCCAGAGAAGACGGGGAGAGTCTGGGGGTCTGGACTGTCGCTCACGGCGCCTGTCCTCTCTCACCCCCAGGTCCCAGAACCGCGGCGAGGAGGCCGTGGCCTTGCTGAGGGAATCCATCAAGTACGGCCCCGAGTTCGCAGACGCCTACTCCAGCCTGGCCTCCCTGCTGGCCGACCAGGTGCCCGTCACTGCCGCTGGACAGGAGGCCTAAGGATGGCCGGGGCTCCTCTGCTCTGACCCCGGGGACGGCTGGTGGGGGGCTTCTCTGCTCTGACCCTCTGACCCCGGGGCCAGCCCGGCTGGCCCTCGCTGCTACCCTTCTCCCTGGTGAGGAGGCTGGCACAGGGCCCTGCCTGTCCTCAGGTGTCCTGCAGACATATTGCCCCGAGGCCCTGTCCCTTCCCTGTGTCCTGGGTGTGACCATTCAGGTCTGGGTGAGGGTGTGGACACGAGCCAAGCCCCCGGGGACCCCACACAGGGCCCCTGTGCCCCTCACTTGGCGTCACAGTGTTGGGGCCGCCCGGACCCCGGGGGCCGTGACTCACCATACCCAAGGGTGTCGGGGTCATGCTGTGGCCCCCGCCTTGGCCCAAATCCCCCCACTTAGCAACCCCCTGAGGTTTCCCTAACCCTACGGCACACCCTGCTGGGGACCCTGGTTCCAGAACCGAGCCAGGCCAAGCGTGCTGGGCGTGGGCTGCGGCTGTCCTGCCTGTGCTGTGTCCTGCTCACGTGTCGTCTGCCGCCCGCAGGACAGGCTGAAGGAGGCCGAGGAGGTGTACCAGGCCGGCATCAGCAGCTGCCCCGACAGCTCGGACCTGCACAACAACTACGGGGTCTTCCTGGTGGACACAGGTGAGTGGGCCTGGGGACCCGCCCAGTAGGATGCTCCAGCCCTGTCCACGGTGTCACCCCTGGCTTCTGGGTGCCACTAGGGGGGCGCCGTGTGCTCACAGGCATAGTAGGTTTGGGGATGCTGAGGGGACTCAGGCCCTGCCCCAGGGGTCACTGCTCAGCTCTGTGTCCCCAGCGCTGGGTGGGCTGGCGTGGTTTCCCGGGGTCAGCACTCCTGAGAATTGATCAGAGGAGCAGAAGCCGCAGCCTCCAGGGCCATGTCCTGGTGACGTGCGTCCTGCGGGGCAGCTGTGGGGACCCTCAGCCTCTCCGTGGCCCTGCCCTGAGCACGCGGGACTCCTGGAGCGCCGACAGGCACATCCTCAGTGCCTGGCGCTCGCAGGCCGCCGACGGGTCAGCTGACACGCTGCCCTTCTTGCTCACGTCCAGATGTGCAGCTGGCCCCGGAAGGACCCGATTTCCCCGGGGCCTCGAGTGCTCGGCCGTAGGTCTCGGCACACAGTGCTCCTCCACCCCCCTGGGCTGACCGGGGCTTTGAGGAAGCCCGTTCTGTGGCGCCACCTGCTGGCCTGTGAGGACAGCGCTGGGCATGGTGCAGGAGGGGGGGGGGAGGGGGGCGGGGCAGGGCCAGCCACCACTGTCCCGGGAAGCCCAGGGTCTGCGCAGTGGGGCCAGGCTGGAGTTCCTCGGCTCCCTGACCTGCGGGGGCTGCCCAGGTGTCCCCTGTCACCTCCCGGCAAAGCTAAGAACTGCTGTGGGGGGCTGTGTACAGGCCGTGGGGGCAGTGTGCGGCTGTGGGGGTGGGGTGGACAGTGTGTGGGCACACAGGTGAAGTCCATGCTCAGGCCATTGCCACTGCATCCCCCGAGCCCCACCGGAACGGGCCCCCAAACCAAACAGAGACTCTTCTATGCAGTTGGTGAATGTTGTGTCTGTTGACAGTTCTTGACTGTTTCATGGCTGGGTCACAAGGCACCGTTTCCCCTGGATTTCCAAGCACTTCCGGCTTGCTCGGGACGGGCCTGGCCGCAGTCAGGTGGTGCCCGGGAGGCTGGCAGGGGCACCTGTTGGTCGAGTGAGTGGTGGCAGGGTGAGAGGGTCCCCAGGTCATGGAGAGGCACGTGTACACACGGACATACACGCGTGCACATCCATGTGCCAGCACGCACACACAGGCGTGTACACAGGTGCCCCATGGAGGCCGTTTCCCCTCCCGTAGGCGCGCCCGAGAAGGCCGTGGCCCACTACCAGCAGGCCATCGAGCTGAGCCCAGGCCACCACGTGGCCATGGTCAACCTGGGCCGGCTGCACCGGTCACTGGGGGACAACGACGCCGCTGAGGAGTGGTACAAGCGGTAAGGCCCCAGGGATGCCCAGTGTGGGGGCCGCTGCCCACCGGGCCCAGCCAGCAGCTGCCGCCACAGAGCCGGGCGGGGTCGGGAGGGGCGGGAGCGAGGTCTGAGGTCTGTTGGAGGCCAAGGCTGGCGCGGCTGCCCACCCTGGCCGTGGCGCCCACCACCCTCCCCCTTGCAGTGCCCTGCAGGTGACCCGCCGGGCCGAGATCCTGTCGCCCCTGGGCGCGCTGTACTACAACACGGGCCGGCACGAGGAGGCGCTGCGGGTGTACCGGGAGGCCGTGGGCCTGGAGCCCACCCAGCGGGAGCCCCGCCTGGCACTGGTGAGTGGGGTGCGGGGTGTCGGGGTGTCGGGGCGCCCGGCCTCCACGGAACTCACCAGGCCCTGCAGGCATGGGGGTGTCGGGGCGCCCGCCTCAAGGAGCTCACCGGGGCCCTGCAGGCGCAGGTGCTGGCGGCCACGGGCCAGGCGGCCGAGGCGGAGGAGCTGACCCGGCAGCTGGAGGCGGAGCAGCCGGGCTGCGTGGAGTGTCTCCGCCTGCTCTCGGCCATCTATGGCCGGCAGGAGCGCCACGACAAGGTGGGTCCCGGGGCGGCCCCCGCTCCTCCCCTCCACGCGCCGGCTCTGATGCGTGGGGGCCCGGGGTGGTGCCGGGGAGGGGATCGGCCGGCTGGCACGTTTGTCCGTCTGTAGACTCCTGGGTGTGGGCTCAGGAGTCCGCTGGGTCGGTTTTTGGCGGTTGACTACCGCCAAAATTGTGGCTGGGCCGGCTCCATGGGCTGCTCCCCAGCTGGGCGGGGGGACACCAGCAGCCGTCACGGGCACAGCTGGGACCCGGCCCCGAGGAGCAGGGACTTGGGTGCCCGATGGCGGGGGCTGGGGTGACGTGCCCAGGCGAGGACGCGGGTGGGGGTGGGGAGGGTGAGGGGAGTGATGTGAAGTCAGACACCCAGTGAGCTGGGAACCAGCTCGGGATGCCCTCCTGCATGGCCCACGTGGGCTGGGGCTTCCCGCAGGGCAGACAGGCCCGGGGGGCTGTGGGATGGGCCCGAGTGGACAGCGCAGACTGGACGTCCCCAGCTTGTTTCGCCCGCCAGCCTGCCGGGGGCTGGGAGGAAGGGGCTGGGGGTCCCCGTCAGCCCGTGAGGGACCTTCCCGGCCCTCACTGCTGCCCCTCCAGGCCCTGGACGCCATCGACAGGGCTCTGCAGCTGCGGCCCCAGGACCCCAAGGTCACGTCGGAGCTGTTCTTCACCAGGGGCAACCAGCTGCGGGAGCAGAACCTGCTGGACAAGGCCTTTGAGGTGGGCAGGAAGTGGGCCTGCCTGCAGGCCAGGCAGACGGGCATGACCTGGGCGGGGTGGGAGACCTACAGCACCTTGTGGGGCGTGGGGAGGGCACGCGGAGAGGCGGGTCCATGCCAGGAGCGGGGCCAGCCCAGCCTGGACATGGGCGGGTCCCTCTCCCTCCGGGCACAGGTGTTTGCCCGGGAGATTCCCAGGGGCTGTGTCTGGGTCGGGAGCGCTCTGGGGGGCAGCCAGGAGGAAGCTTCCCCTGCGCCCAGATGGGGCACAGGGAGGTGAGCGAGCCGGGGGGGGGGGGGAGCGGTCAGCGGGGCGGCTGTGGGGGACGCCCTCCCCCGCTGAGGACGCCCCTCGCTTCCCCAGAGCTACAAGGCGGCCGTGGAGCTGAACCCGGACCAGGCCCAGGCCTGGATGAACATGGGTGGGATCCAGCATATCCAGGTAGGGCCAGTGGGACGGGGACCGCCCCGGGCAGTGGGCACGTGGGCAGGCGGGCAGGTGGGCAGCGGGCAGGGCCTCCCTCTGGCCCCCACCAGCCTTTGAGTGCCCCAGGGGCCCCAGAGCCCAGCTCCAAGCCCCTGAGACTGAGTCTGCAGGAAGCTGGCCTCCAGGGGACAGTGACTGCTGAGCTGGCCCTCAGCCCCGTGTCCACTCCCTGCGGCACAGAAGGGAGGGCGAGAGGTCACGGAGGGCAGGAGTTTCCGGTGGAGGGGCTTCAGGGAATCCCCCCTGGAGAAGGCGGACCCCCGTTCACCTGGCTGAGGCTCGGCTTGGGTGTCCGGCCCCTGATCCAGAGAAGTGGCCCTTGGGGGAGCAGAGAGACGGGGCAGCGCGTCGTGCCAGCTTGAGGCCGTCCAGGGCCCCCCGTGACCACGGCCAGCCCCGGAGTTGGACGAGCGGTTCTGGCTGAGGCCACCGGGTCTGCTTCGGGAAGTGGCTCTGGGCGCTCCGGCTGGGCCTGGGTCAGTGTCCCGCCTCCCCGCAGGGCGACTACGTGGCCGCCCGGGCCTTCTACGGCCGCGCCCTGCGGCTGGTGCCGCACAGCCGGCTGCTTCGAGAGAACCTGGCCAAGCTGGACCGGCTGGAGCAGCGACGGCAGGAGGTCAGGGAGGAGGAGGACACGTAGCCACCGCCTGCCCCCAGCGGCTGGCCGGACCGCGTCTCCCCTGAGAAGCCAAAGAAGAACGGCCGGGCGGCCGCGGGCAGAGGAGACGCCTCTCGGGCCGGTCCTCCTGTTCCCGACCAGCCCCGGACGTCCATCCCCAGGAACACGGACACCCCAGTGGCTGAGCCGTGGTGACCTGCGGTGGGAGCACTAGTGTCAGGGCTGAGGTTCGGGGTCCGGCCCCCAGAGGGGCCCGTGTCATTCTCCACAGCCAGAAATGAGTCGCTAGTGGTTGCCGTGGAACCTTCTGGCATACGTGTGGGAGAGGTTCTGTCTCCGGGACCTTTGATCTGCTCCCCCGTGAGAACTCGGCATGAGCCCTGACGAGTCGCCTTCCCTCCTCACACCAGGTTTTCCTGCCCATCCCAAGCCCATTACCCACATGGAAGCTTCTAGAATTGGGCGGTTCCTCGGGGAAAATCAAGGATCCAGCTAGCCCCCTCCTTCAGTATGGGAATTTTAAGAGTGATTTTTATCACAAGTGTTTCTAGAGTGACGCTTCCGCCCTGAGATCTCAAAAGTGCTTTAAAAAAAATCATGACGATTTCTGCCTCCGAACATATAGCTATTTTGGTGGAGAAGAGCATAGTATATTCTACGTGAGAGTATTCAAGATATTAAGTGAGAGAAATGTTCTACTTTATTATCTAAATCGTTCAGACATCCTGAGGTTATTTTTTTGAAAAGAAAATATATAAACAGAAGCATTCGGGATGCTTCCTACTTTATCTCAGAAATCAGACGTCCCCTGGGCTGCGGGGCCCGGGGCCGAGTGCTCTGGGACCCACATGGTCATCCTGGAGATTGCTCAGAGAGCGCTCGAAGACCCTAGGGGAAAAATTCCTATTTTTAAAGATATATATTTATATGGAGAGGCTAGGAAAGGCAGAGTTGCACTTGAATTTGAGGATTGTTTTATGCTATTTATTTCATAACTTATTAGCTATTTAAGACACGTGACACTTTGCGCCTCCATCCATGGTGACGTGGCAGCTTCCCGAGCCGGGGCGCAGGACACACCAGCCCCCACTCAGTGTGTCCAAGCTGGACGGCCCCGGGGCTCTGGACACCAGCCCCCACTCAACGTGTCCGAGCTAGACGGCCCCACACGTGTGTTGTGTGTTGTGTGACCATGCTTGCTCAGGCTGATGTCTGCGTCTGGGCTGTGCGGGGTGGGAGGGAGACGCTGCCCTCCAGGGCTGTTTCCGTTTGCCTCCAGGTGACTGCGAGGGGCTGGTCGGGCGCAGGCCGGAGCTGGCCCTGGCTCTCTGGGCTCGGGTGAGCCCTTGCCCGAGGGAGAGCACCGAGAGCCAAGCCGGGGCTAGTGCCACGCCTGTCGGGGTCCTGGCGTCCGTGCTGCCCTGACCCACCTCTGTTGGTGGCCAGTGCCCTTTGGCCTGAGCTGACCCAGAATCGTGCTCAGAGCTGCTCGCTCCCCGAGCGGAGGCCGTTCCCCCTGCTGAGGCCGTGGGTGCGGGTTCGCCCGGGCCCCTGCCGGCAGCCTTAGCAGGACTCAGGCCGCCCTCGGCCCCTGTTAGTGTGTCCAGACCCGAGATCCTCTCGGGCGGCCCCTGCGAAGGGCCCGGCGCGCACGGAAGCCGTCGTGCCTGACTGGGGTCCATGCCTCAGTGCCCCGGGCCTGCCCACCCGGCCTCTCTTTGGACGTCAGAAGCGAGCACTGTCTGTTGGGTCGTGTCTGTCCGAGTTAACACCTTCTCCGAGACGCGTCTGTGAAACTGTCCTGGCTCTGTGGTGCCTAGAAGGAATAAATCACCTTATTTTGCAAAGATCGTGTGTTGGGCTGTCGGTCCTTGGTACACGCGACGCCCCGAGCGAGTTCAGGCCACTGAGCTGAGCCCCACGGGCCAACTCGTCTCGGCTCCCCTGACAGTGCTCTGGGCTCTCCTGACAGTGCCCTAGGCCCCCGACAGTGCTCTGGGTTCCCTGGAAGTGCTCCCTGGAGATGCGTGTGGGGCTGTGGGCACAGGGGCAGGAGCAGAGCCAGCCCCACCCCCCTGCCCATGGGCAGAAGCTCAGTGAGAGCCCGGCTGGGGGGCTGCACGTGCCGCATCCCTGCCGTCTCCCCCTCCTCGCTGAAGGCATAGGGCGGGCTCTGTGCTCTGCCCCCTGCCAGTGCTCAGGGTCCTGGCCTTGCTCTGGGCCCATTGACAGTTCTCTGGGCCCCCGGCTGTGCTTTGGGCTCCCCCAACAGTGCTCTGGCCCCCGACTGTGTTCTGGGCTCCCCCAACAGTGCTCTGGGCTCCCCTGACAGTGCTCTGGGCCCCGGGCTATGCTCTGGGCTCTCCTGACAGTGCTCTGAGCTCCCTGACCATGCTTAGGGCCCTGGGCCTTGTTCTGGGCCCATTAACAGTGCTCAGGCTCATGACAGTGCTCTGGGCTCCCCCAACAGTGCTCTGTGTTCCCCTGGCCTGAGCGCCGTACTCTGGGGCTCCCTCTCTGTGCCGCACTGCACCCCTTCCTGCCCTGTGTGTGAGCCCCCTCCTGCCGGCCTGACCCCCCCAGACAGTCCCTGTCCCTGGCCTGGCCTGGCTTATCTCTGCCGGGTGCTCCAGGACCTGCTTCCGCCTGCTGCCTCCCTGGCCTGAGCGGGAGACGGGGGTCCTGGTTGGGGCCTCGCTCCCGGATGGAGCCTGTGGGAGGAGGAGACTGGTGGCCCCCGCGCTCTGTACAAGACGGAAGGAGACGCAGCCTCCGCCCACCGCCCGGCAGAAACCAGGAGGTGGAGGACATCGCCCGCGGGGACGCTGACGCTCGTCCAGACCACGTGAGTCCAAGGATGGTCAGGGCACAGCTGGTGGGTGGGCTCCACTTTGTGGGGCTGTGCAGAGTCAGGGGTTCACGGGTGGGGGGGGCAGCATGTGGATGGAGAGGATCCGAGGGGGAGGGACACAGGTCAGTCTTCCAGCCCTGCCAGCCCCCAAGGCCTTGAGCTGGGCGCAGAGCAGCCTCTGCTCGGTGCTCAGACCCCTGCTTGGTGCCCTGCAGGGGCCTCTTCCTTTGGATGCCACCGGGCAGTTTCTGTCCATCCGTTCTTAACTGGACTCGCTAGAATCCGTCTCGGGGAAGGAAAGGAGGCTTGTGGATCTGGGTCGTGCTGGGATTTGCACTCAGCCAGCTGAGCCGTTGTGGGACGTTGGTGGGAAGGTGTGAGGGCGCGTCCAGCAATGGGCTCATCTTCCCCCACGGACTGGGTCGAATCCTGTCGGGATCACGTAGTCCCAGCGAGACAGAAACCACCTCTGGGCACCTTCAGAGAGCAGACGCCTCTGGGCCTTGCACGGAGAATCTGCAGCTAAGCAAGAGAAACACCTAAAATGCCCCGAAATAAAAATGGAAATGTTTGCACGATGTTTGCACGATGGTCCTTGGAATTTTGTCATGAAACAGTTAAGCAGAACATACTCCAAAACTACTGCTTCCCTCTCCTACTTTTATTTATTTATCTTTTTGTTCTTGATAGCTGTTTATCTGGCTGCTTAAAGAGAAGAGAATAATTAATTTCCATCAAAGCCCTTTGTAATAGCAGTCCAGTGGCATCGGGAAATCCCCTCCGCTGGGAGTGATCCCTGGGCACTGCTGGGTGTGCTCTTAACCCCCCAGGGGGGCTCGATGCTGAGGGAAGGACGCCTGGGTTTCAGGGTGGGGCACCCTGGGCTCTTGAGTTCCAGGAACGAGGAGGGGAGAGGATGGACCCTGCCCGCCCCCCAGCTGAGCAGAGCTGCGGGAGCCGGAGCTGCCTGATTTCACGGCAGCTCAAGTCCGGAAACGCCCACTGCCGAGGACAGCCCCTGGGGGGTGCTGTGCCCCTTGTGCAAGCGTGCTGCCCTGTGGGCAGAGCTGGAGAGGCTTGAGGGAGGGGGCACACGCAGGATGGTCCCTGGCATGTGTGGGGGTGGTGAGGCATAGTAGGGGGACAGGGGAGCCCAGAGGGGGTGGCAGCCAGGGGCGGAGGGGCCTGCAGTGGCATGCTTGTCCCCCATGCCTGGGGCTCATGGGAGGGACAGGGCAGGGGCATTGGGAAGAATGTGGACCTGCGGACCCCCAGGGCTCAGATTCCTGGACACCTGAAACCCCGTTGTCAATGTCTGTGACTTTGTGGTTCACAGAGAGTCCGTTTTAAAAAGGAAGAGAGAAATGGATGGAGAGATGGACAGGCAGTCACAGAGCCTGAGGGACGTGGCTAAGAGGACCCACGGGGGGGGGGAGGGGTGGTGAGACTCTGGGCGCCCGCTGGCCCAGTGGGTTTGGGGCAGCCAAAGGCGGGGAATCTCAGTGGGCAGAACCTCCCCCGACCACGGGCGCCGCGGGTACAGCCTCCCCCGACCAGGGTCACCGCAGGTACAATGTCGCCCAACCATGAATGCTGCGGCTACAGTCTCCCCAACCACAGGCATCGTGGGTGCCACCTCCCGGCCTCTCGTCCCGCCTGAACAGAGGTGGGTGGCCCAGAGCCTGCAGCTTCCACTGCTTTTTTGCTCCCCCCTTGATCTGCAGGGACCTGTGTGCGACCCCTCTGTGAGCAGAGAACAGGGGTCACCGTGGCAGCCGTCCCTGCAGGTGAAGGCACGCGGCGGGAGGAAGGTGTGCCCGCCTCGTGGACACTGGCACCTTCGGGACATCTGGCCTGGACCCCAGCCATGCCAGCCGGGAAGAACAAGGCTCTGGGGAGGTGGAGGGCCTGGGAGGGCTGGAGTCGGTCCTTCCGGGTTGCTAGAGTCCCAGGCGAACCTCGGGTCCCGTCTTCCTCCTGCGTGTGCCCGGGGCTCTGTCCCTGCCGTCCCCCCTCTGGGCTCAGGGCCGCCAACTGGTGCGTGCTGGTGTGTTGTCTCCCTGCTAGCAGCTGTTCTGCCCCTCTGTTCCTTGGGATCCTGAGCCTGAGTATTCTATAAAATTTGAAGAAAATGCATTCAAGGTTGTGGTAGAAACGCTGCTCTACTCTCGACGGTAATTGCTTGTCCTTATTATCTATTTTTAAAATATGCGATTGACGTCTAATTGCTTCACGGATGTTCTTCCTTTGTTATTGTTCCCATTACTTTCGCTTTGCTTTGGGGCTATACCCAGTGGTGCTCCTTAACTCCTGGCTG